GGAGATCTATTTTTGTATTGATCTTAGCCTGATTCAACTGATCAAAAAGTCCAGATATTAAAGGTAGTGGATACCTGTTCTTGATGGTATTCTTATTGAGTCCTCGATAATCAACACACATCCGCAATGATCTATCTTTTTTCTTCACAAATAGAATTGGAGCTCTTGCCAGAGATTTAGAATGGCATATGAAATTCTTTGCTAGATTCTCTTCAATATACTCCTTGAGTTCAATCAACTCATTTTGTGATAAACTGTAGATTGGTCCAAATGGCGGTTAAACTCTTTCTTGAAGGTCAATTGAGCAATCATAGGGACGATGTTTCGGGAGTGTATCCGCATTCTTTTTTTCGAATACATCTTAAAATTCTTGATACTGGCTTGGAATGCCACTTGAAGTCTTTCCACTAGTAGAAACAGTAGTGGCATAAATAATATATGGTGATTCTTTCATAGCAGCATGTTAGAAAGCTTTTACACCTATAAATACGGATTTAAATGAATTGGACTTATGACTCTCTACATGATTAACTACACTATTAGTTATACTTTTAGAGAAAGTAAGAGTTTGAAAAATCTAATCTATTTGAGGGTTGTATTTTTCTAACTACGATAAACCTAAAATGACTGGATTAGAGGGAGATCTAATGACATTAAATACTACAAAGCTATTATGACCATTGGTTATTACTTCTATAGGAAGGTTTTTGTGAGTAATATCTCCAGATGACAATGAACGACCATCTATGACTTCTACATGAACAGGTTTAGTTTTCTTTACTAAAGATATGCTATGTCTTTTAGTAAATTCTTCATCTAAGAAACACGCCGAAGCTCCTGAATCTAACAAGGTAGAGGCTTTATAATATTTAGGTCCTAAAATAACAATTAATGAAAAACAAAGAGAGGACTCTAAGGAGAGAATAGAACCTTTATTAGATATTGTGCAAGGTTCCAGCCGCACGGTCCCTATTGTAGCTAGACAAACTCGTTTTCTGACATATTGTCTTCTTTCACAACCATACTCCTCATTTTGTGATTGCGTCATTTCTTTGGATAATGTTGAGTAGTGTGCTTTGGTTCTCCACAATATAAACATAATCCTTCTTGACGATGACAAGTCTTTTCTTGCTCAATAAGAGGTTTGAAACGTACTGCATCAATTTGCATATCCTCTACTTCCGAATGTATGTGTTGAAGACGTGTTGATATTGCCATTGAATTATAGTAACGTTGAGGTCCACTTACACGGTTCTCAGATCGAAATTCAAAAAGGAAATTGTCTCACTTCACAGCAAAGTCAATTGTTTGACTCAATGTTTGAGGATCAAGTAAGTTGAGCATTAATTTTTTTACCTCATATTGTAATCCGTAGAGAAATTGGCTAATAAGTGCAGCATCATCCCACTTGATATCAATTGCAAGTTGTCAAAATTGTGAAGCGTACAACGTTACTGATCGATTGTCTTGTCATAAAATATAGATCTTATTGGTTGCAACACGAATTGCATCATGTTCTCCATACATGGATCGAAACTCCGCCAGAAAAGCCTTTAGATTATCCAATATTGGATCTCATCGTTCAAGAAAAGATGAAAACCACGATAGTGCTGAACTTGAAAAAAAGCGTATCAATGAATCTAACTTACTATCCTGGAGTTGGATAGCTTTGGGGTTGAAGTTCAATCACAAGTTGCACTTGATTGATAAATCCTCGAAACTTAGATCTAGTGCCATCAAACTTCTCGGGTATGGCAATTCTTGGTTCTCTAATACTGGAAGGGCGTTCCATCATAAGAAAAAGGACATGGTTTAGTGCAGATGTTGAAGCATCTCCAACCATTTCTATATCTTCATTTCCTGCCAATCTTGTTGCTCCTTGTGGTCGTAAATTGAGTTGATGCATCGCAAGCATTAACTCCCTCAATTGCTCTTACATTTGTGCCATTGTACTCTTCATTTCAACAAGTTCTGCCATGATAACACTTAAAAAAGAGAAGATGTCTAATATCGCTCAAGATAAATAGAAGAGAGGACTTGAGAACAAAGAAAATACTAAGAACAATATCAGTTTAAAAGAGGGTAATTCGTAACTTCTAATATGCTTATATCTTATCAAGAAAAAGGGGTAATCCACTCTTAATCAAGATTAGACAAAGCTCTGATATTGTAGGTAGACTCTTGTCAATCTGTCAAGGACAAGAACTCGATGAAAAAATAATTCAGACAAGTGAGCCTTCACTCAAAGAAAGGTAACAAAATATAAATAAACAAGTATGTATATTAAAAGAGAAATTGGAATGGCTATTACCAAAAGACAAGAAAATTGGAGACCCTTAAAACTAGACTGGAAGCAAGAAATGAGTTGGCAAGAGTGAAGAAGGCTTCACTCTTGTCTCTATATATACTATCTAACTATGGGCTACGTGGCGACGTTCTATAGGACCTCTAATATGTGTTGACTTTGTAAGACACATGCCTTGACTTACAAGGCAAGTTTTTCTACATGTGGACCATATAGTTGGCTTGATCTTCAAGCTAACAACATGTGTAGCACATGGGCAACTTGTTGACCACGTTTCTAATCCAAAAAGTCAATTAAAGACACCTATGAAGTCAAAGCAGCGTCTATGAAGCTTCTAGGAAGCTTCCATATTAAATACTATAGAATTAACTTACTTTTACCTACTTGTATATGTAATTATTAGCTTACATGAGTATGTCTGTGACATATAGTGGTCTTTTTGCTTTGATATGGAATACTATTGATGATTGATGAGACCTATGAATTACCTTCAAAATGAATAGTATATAGCAAATACAATTCATTGCATCTTGAACTTTTTCAACATATAATCACCGCTCCTTATAGAATATATTTCTAGGATGGAAGATAATATCATAAAGATACATATTTATCTAGATTAAAAGAATTAGATAGAAATGAATAGAAGTTCGTAAATTTGATAACAACTTATAAAGAAGCTTTTTAGAAGCTATATAAACACAAATTTGACTTTTTTTGTGTTTCTAAGTGATTAGTAGATTAAAAATTTAGCAAACAAATTGATCATGTTGTACATATGTATGAAACTTATCTTGCAAATTGAATATATATCAAAGGTTCTATAGAATGTCACCATATATCTCTTACTTAGATAGTATACACAGAGACAAGAGTGAGGCCTTTTTTCACGTTTATTAATGCCCTTCTTTTTTTTAGTCTTGCTTTCAAAGTCTCTATTCTTCTTGTCTTTAATAAAAATCATTCTAATTTTAATATTATATTATTTTTGAGTGATTATCTATTCTTTATTAATAATACAAGAGTGTATTGATTTTTTGGTTGTTTGTGATTCATATATTTGATAGAACATAGGCATAGCTCTAAAAAGAGTTTTAAACCAATATGGAGAGTGATATTATATAAACTTTATTTTTTTATATTTTTTTATGGCAAATTAAAATTTTCAAGAGTGTAGCAATGAGTCAATGTATTAAGTACTATTAAATCCAACAAATGTAAATATATTTGTTTTTATTAGTTAATATAATACATAAAATTTACAAATTTAAATTTAAAATAAAAGAAGTATATAAGAATATATGTGATATTAAGTGAAATGGACAAATAAGTTTTATTTATGATATAATTGGTAGAACATTAAAGTAAAGAAGACAATATGATGGTTGAATGTTATTTTAATTGTAATTTGCAAAAAAATACTTTTGTAGTAGTTGATTAATTGTATAGAAGATATAGTTTGGTAAGGTATTTTTTGGAACTTAAGGTGGCTTTTTTATTCGATCAAAAGAAGGTGGATGCATTTAAGGATGTTCATGTTATGTTCTTTTATTATTATTGTAAATTTTTTAAGCATGTTTGCATCTTATTGAAAGATTATTTCAATTATATATCAAAGTTTGTAAGATAGATATCTTTAGGTAGAAGTTATTTAGGATATAGTGATTTATTTTTTGTATGGAATAAATCTTATTTTCTAATAGAAAATTGTGAAAAATCAAATTGAAATGAAGAAACTATCTTCCAATTGAATAACAAACAGACTTTTAGAGAAATAGGTTTGGATTTAAAATATTGTTATGATATAACAAGTGATATATTTTTAAAGAATTATCTCGACAAAGTTGAACATTACATCTACCATTAGTATTGTCACATGTAATGAAGTAAAAGAGGATGTTAAATTTCTATATACAAGGTTGATCCATGCAAACAGAGAAGAAGATATTAAATATTATGGATTAGTAAAGTATCTACTGCAAAGATTGGAAGATTTACTTTCAATAAAAGGTGGAGAATTGAATGATTTTAAACTATTGTCATACATGAAGAATCTTGAAATCATAAAACACATAAGTGAAGGAAATTACAATGAGGGTTATAAATCTAAGTGGTTGGGAATTGTATGTACAACTAAAAAGATGGATATTACACATAAGTTTTTTAAGAAAGAAGTGGGCATTCTAGACAATTTATGCCATCCCAACTTATTAACATATTATTTTGCAAGGAAAGGTAGTGTCAAAAGAAGTATTGATTCTTTTGTGATAAAAGACAACAAAGAATATTTGTATACTGGAATGGAATTGATGCAAAAGAATTTAATGATGCATTAAGCAGATTACAGTTTTGTCGTGCATACCCATAAAGTAATGTATCAGAAGATTGAAACTTGGTATCTCACAGCTGCAAAGTTTTGTGAATGCCACCAGACAGTTGAAAGCAATCACATTCCAACCAATCTTCTAGAGAACAGAGCATGCTAACCTCTCAACTAATGAAAATCACATGCTCATGACAACAGACAATAAACTTACCCAGAGGCAACTCAGATACAACCATCTCCAATATTTAATGCACAGCTGCTCTTAAAACACCTAGGACATGAGATAATTGCACAGCACAACATACAAACCCTCACCAAAGAGCGGTTCCATCAAGTCTCAAGATCCAAGCTGCACCCAATCCTTCAATCTTTCGTCAATCGGAGGAAAAACGGAATTGAATCTTTTTGTAACAATAGAAAACTATACACAACACTTACAAGTGTAAATCATTCTGCCGCCATCACAAGTACTACACTTAGTGACGCAACACTTGTCTTCTTCTAAGATACACATCTTCTCTGAACAGGGAAGAGAAGATGACAAGCATATTCAAGACCTAGCCCTCAAAATGAGTGATATTTCTCTTTTCTAATAACTCCTTCTCACGTTCCATAAGGAAACCAGGAGGCCCAATATCAGGATGGAAGCTGAGAAAATAATGCATAACAAAGAGATCCAGTTGGCACTGGATCAAGGATCCAAACTCAGATGATCGGTCAGAATTTGAAGAGCGTTATCCAATATTCCCTAAAAGCCGATCAACTGCAGCATGTACATTTCCACCAGCAGCACGGAGAGCTTGAATGTTGTCTTGAGTATTATCGAATCCCATCTCACGCAATTGCCTTAGCTGTGTAACGTATAGTTCCTCGGGAGGCACTGCATCCGAAAAAATAAAGTTGTCAGAAGGAATTCATCAAAAGACTTAACAGTCATCAAACCATTTAATACAACGGAACACCTGTGAACTCCAAACCTAGAATGCGAGCAATTAGTACTGCTATCACAAACGTGCGCCATCGTTGCATTCTCCATCTTTTCATATCCTACAGTGAAGAGGCCCCAGCTAACGTCGAGCTACTCGACACCTCTTGAACAAGTGCCATGGCATTTCTTCACTTCAACAGTTGCTCACAGAGAGTTCAAAAAATATGACTTACTGTCAGGGTTAGAAGGGGCAGTGCTGTCAAGTCCTCCGAGCATATTATGTAAAGCATCCATATTCATGTTTGGAGCTCCACCCAATCCACCACCAGGTTGACCAAATCTTCAAAAAAATCAGAAAATGGCATTAGTTTTGTCAAAAACATTCTCCATGTTCCGAATCTTGCCACCAAGGTATTACGGTTTAAGATTATGGGACTCCAACTGACCTAACTCTTCAACTACGACGACCTATAATATAACTTTCATCACAATAGACTGCGTAAAGCTTTCTGAAGCAACAAGTCGTTAACAACTTACATAATTTACATGATTTACATTTAAAATAAAAATGATAATTCAAAAATAATAAAATAATAAAATAAAATCCATTAACTCACATAATGTTAAATTTGTGATTATAGTAACCCAACCATTCTCCAAACCTGGTGCAGTTGCACATGTAAGATCCATACCCACATTACGGTTCTGTGTATCAAAGAGGTCAAAGCACTTACTGGCCAGGCAATTGACCACCACGTTGGCCCATCATAGCTTGCTGGAGTTGCATTAGTTGCTGTGTTTGATCATGACAACATCCACCCAAATAGTTTGTCAAAAGTAAGCACATGTTTTTCAGTATCTAAACATCTTCAACATCTAAAAAATGCACTCAAATTTTCCAAATCCTAGAGCTGCTTTGCAAAAGTAACAGGAAAACTAATTGACAGAAAGAAACTACTTATAATGAAAAGAAAATGCTAATTCGTACCTGTAAACTCTCCGGATTGATCATTTGTCGAATGAAGTCTGGATTCTGCATCATGTCTCTAAAATGCGGATTCTGGTTCAGCATTGCACGTAGTTGAGGCTGCATATTCATTATCTGTCAATCGGACCACATGCATACATTAAGAAGAGGTCTTGGAACTTCCTAACACATCATACGACCACAGTTTATTAACCAGAGCTTGCAATACCCAGATTCAGGCGGCAGATGGTGCCAAAAACAATGCGCGAAATTTGCGAGACAGTGTACTTGAGACAGCTTTAACTCGCATAAGAAGTACCTACGATTTTAATTAACTACCGAAACAATTACTCCATATTTTGTAGAGGTTAATTCATTGGTATGTCGTGATTTACAGCAACAATTGCAGCAAAATAAAATATATATGGACAAGAAATCGACGGAGAAATACTTCCATGAAAAAGTCACCTGATTCATGTAAGCAGGATTAGATAAGATTCCCTGCATCATCTCCTGTATTTGAGGATTTTGCAACATTTGCTGTATCATGGCGGGATCCATGAGCCCCCCAGAACCGCCCATCGTCCCAAGATCTGGAAGGCCAAGTCCTGCCAACCTACTGAAATCTGGAAAACCTCCCCCTGGAATTGCTGCTGGAACCGCTGGGGGTGTCTGAGCAGCTCGAGTTCCAGTCCCAGCTGCTGCAACCAGAGCCGAATAGATTAGAACTAAAATTAAAAATCAACAAAGAAATAAATATAAAACATGAATTGCACCGAGAGTAATCGAACTCCCAAGACAATAAAAGTCTTTTCTGCCACAACATACTCAAATACCAAGATAACAGCGACGTGATTTTTTGACAATTACGTACGTATTAACAACTATCCTTGATCACTCACGTGTAGGATTCCAAGGATTCGGTAAAGGAGCAGTGTTCGGCACTGTTGTTCCAGCTCCAGTGTTATTAGCTGCACCTTGACCTTGACCCTGCGCAGCCCCGTTCATTCCCACAAGAGCTGCAAATGGGTTCGGCGCCACGCCGTTCCCTACCTCCCCACTCATAGTTGCGGCATTCAATAGAGGCTCTTGGACATTTTCATACATACGCCTGAGCATGTTAAACCCCTCGGGCGAAGCTTCGATATTACTCATGGCCCGATCTGTGTTTCTCATCATTTCACGCATGAGCTCAGGGTTGCGAGCAGCATCTAACGTCTGCCGAAGTGTTCCAGGATCGTTCAAAATATGGGCCAAATCTGGATTACGGTCAATGATTTCCCTCATCTGTGGATTGCTCATAATCAAGGATCGCATGAGATCAGGGTTGTTCATTAAGTTCTGAACTACAGGCATATTCATCATTTCTCTCATTAAGTTTGGGTTTTGCATTAGCTGCTGCTGAACCTGCTGAAAATCTGAAGCTCCCGTTCCGAATGGCGGAAAAGCGCCACCACCCGAGCCCAATCCTATACCAGGGAAACCCATACCGCCTAACCCTGCAACTGACCCTAGTCCAACAGGGTTTGCTTGAGCAACAGCAGGTGTAGGCGTTGATGTTAGAGTAGGGGTGCCGGCGGCAGGTGCAGGTGCTGCTCCTCTGACCAAATGAACAGTGTGATCACTTTGCAGACCTGATCCAAACCACAAAATACATGTACGTCAAAACCAGCCACTGGTGGTAATAGTCGGAACTCCACCGTGGCTTCTACTAGAAATAAGATGAGGGTTTCAATCTCCAAGCTCCTCAACACAAATACGAAGGACCTCACCAAGTGCAAACGAAAACATCCGTAGTCGGTGAAAAGAACCCACTTTGAGATGGATAAAGATACATGATTAATGAAATATCAGACAAATAAAAAAGACTGCCACTAATAACTAGCTGAAACATCTGCTGTCGTCTTGATTCATTAAACAAGTAAATATCAGGTAGATATGGGGAGAAAAACGGCACTATCCGTACTAAAATACGATCCTAGCTTAGTCTGAACACAATTCCTCCCCGTCATATTAGAAATTTTAAATACAGATCCAACATTGCAATTTGTTATTTACGCTTCAAAACCACACGACATTTTCAAAAAATACAAAAAATAAGCCTGATCTGGAAATAGGCAGCGAACAAGTAATCCCGCAAATAATAATCATGGCACGCACATTCATTGACTTTTAGACAATAGAATCATAAAAACTCCCGGATAACAACAAACATTAGAGCCCCAAAGTTTCAAAGCCTGACTGTAAGTCCCCAGAAAACGTCAACGGAAAAAAAATCTCACAAAATCGTTTCCAAATCACATGCTTTGCACCCTTACATGGGACGCTACTCAATTAAAAAGTTTTATAATCCGCTGACCAGACTAACATTTTGCCAAGTAGTTCTTAATTAATCAATGCACCCAACCAAGCAGTTCTGGAGCCTATAAATGCCATCCAGACTCTGCATGCGACCAAACTCTCATGCAATGGTCTGAAATTGATTCGCTAGATGCCTCTGTCGACTACTCAATCCATGAAGATACCCTCGAGGTCAAAATTCGCCACTAAACACAAACCCTAACCCGGCATCGCACCTCCAATTCACGCAACAATCAAATCCTTAACGCTAACTCCGAGTCCAAAAACTAAATAAAAACAACAACAACAACAACAACAACATGACAATCAAATAACTTCTTACCGTAGCTGTTGAGGGTACTGTCGTCCTTAAGCACCCGGCCCTTGTAAATCAACCGCTGCTGGTCCGCCGGAATCTCCGACCGCTCCACCAGCAACACCTTCATGGCCATCACGGTGGCGCTCAAATCCACCTCCACTGTGAACTTGTTGCCATTCGAGCAGCGCACATGCACCACAGCGATACTACCACCCGCATCTCTCACACTACTAGCCCCCGCGTCCGCCCCCGCTTTCGCTGCGCCATCGGGCCCTTCTCCCATCTCTAAATCTCTTGACCGATCAGCCTCTCTCCCAGTACCTAATCACCTCTATAAAATAATTCCTCACGTCTCGCTTGCAAAATCTATATCTCCCTTCTTCTTCTCTCCTACAACCAAATTCCCAAGCTCTGGAATTGCTCTCCACCTCACCCGATTCCGATCAAAAGAAGGCCGAATCGTGGAATCCAGCTTGTGGGTATTGTGGAGTCGTGCGCAATGTACGAAAGCTCGCTACAACGAGGGAAATTCAGGGGAGCACACGACGGGAATGGCATGGATGATACGAGGTTACCACCGCGAGCCCTGCGGACACACGGGCCAAGCCCAGCAACGCAAGCAACGCAAGCAACGCAAGCAAATGCAGGACTCCGTTTCCTTTTCTATGGAAGACGAATGATCGTCATCCATTGTATGGATGAAATGTCCTCTTTGCTGATGGCGTTTCTGTTCATTCGAATCGAGTGGGTGGATGAATGAGAGATTCGTTTGATGCCGTGGTCAACGCCCAATTGGTGTCGAGAAACGTCTAGACTGTGCCAGTTCTGACTACTGGATTTTGGATGAATCGCTGGTGTGTTTGGATGAACGAAAGATGCGAGAACGACGCATTCTGTGCTTAGATTGACAAATTCAAATTAGATTAATAATAAAATAAATGGATTTTTCCCATAGAATCGTTGATTTTTACACTAGAAAAAAATATTTTTTAATACTTTAATAATTAAATTTTATTATTAAATACATATAATAAAATATGTAAAAATGGGATTTATAAGTTGCTATTGTATTAATTTATTCTCTTCTATTCTAATTTGATACCATGGTTTTCGTGTGTTCAAAAAATAATTAAAACCATTCCTTACTGTGTACGAAGATCCCGAGTCAGCAGTTGTTTTACATTATATTCCTTCACTTGCAACACAAACAAAGATCCAAATTCTGTAAAATTCTGTCTGAAGAGTAGTAGCAAAACATGACAGAAACAAAATCAAAATATGTTTTAATAAAAGAAAACTGGGATCTGCAGACAAGATGTTGGATTACTGTACAACAAACATTGGCAAAATCATGAATAAATATATATTACAAATCAACAGTAAATGTTGCCATGTGGGTGGTCTTAAAGTTTTAACAAAACATGTGAGTTTCCTTGTCTTAAAGTTTAATGGCTCCAGTGCATTCTCCCTATTATAAATCACCAATTTTACGTATAGAAAGAGCTTTAATTTCTCACAAACCATAATGTTGCATTTTCCTAAAAGTGGTCGTATTCTATCTATTTAACAGGAGAAGGTGTGAATGAGTCCCATGGACAAAAACCAGAAGACGCATTCACACCTGCGCTAGTACGAACCAAATAGAAAGAAGAAGAAAGCACGAAAAAGAGACCTCGACATCTTTCTTCCCCTGGTGGAAAGAAAGAACTAACCGGAAAGAGGAATGGTCGAAATTTCTTTCCAGGGTGGAAAGAAGAAGAAATCATGGGGAAAGACGCTGCATCATCTTTTTCCTTCCTTGTGGGTGCTGTAGTGAGGGCGTTGTTGCATAAGATCTCCCTTCTGCTCTGGGTGTAGGGTTTAAGCTCCAAGCCCAGCTTCCCCGGCGTCGTCTCCCGTCTCTCACCCACTTCCTCATTTGGCAGGACGCTGCGCGGATCAAACCTTCGTCGCACGCACGGCGATGTATCTCGCCATGGACGCCACTCAGGAGTTCGACCTCAAGGACGCTGTGCACTCCCATGCCGTTTGTAAGTTCCAGACTTGTTCTTTCACCTTGGAAACTCTTGTTTTGGGGGTTTCTGTTGGGTTTTTTCTGGGTTGGAGAACCTCTTGCGTCGTGAATTGCATGTGTGTGGTGGACTAGAATAGCCTTGCCAAGTTTCTGAACGGGCGTGTTGGTTTTGGTGCCAGTCTTTGACCGGCTGGTGGAGATGATTCCTGCCAATATCTATGTTCCGAAGGAGAATCCTACTGATCAATGGGTAAGTAGTGTGCTGTAGTCTTCTGGGATGTGGGTACTCTGCAGCGTTTAGTCTTTGTATAGTGGTGAGATCTTTGAGTGGGCCGAGAGTGGAATGCACCACGGGAAAAATTAGGGTTTATTAGTTTCCAGTTTATGAGCATGTGTGTTCTTGCGGTTGGGTGCTGTCTGGGGTTGAATGTTGAAGGCAAGTTGGGGATTGGTGTAGGCACATGGCATGAGCAAGAAAGCACGAGCCGAATCGAAGAGGAAGACGAAATTAAATTTGAAGAAAGCTAAACGAGCTCGAGTAAGTTGCTTTGAATGTTTGTTAGTTTCTTCCTTTTCAACCAGCGGTGGCTCAGATGTCTCGCCATTAGGTCCTTGGCTTTTAGAATTCACGAAGAGAGATTACGTGTTGCAAGTGAATGTTCACAGGCACAGCAGTTGACATTTCGAGAGTTATTGCGTACAAATTGTGTGCTAGGAATGTTAAGTTCTTACCTGTTGAAGATCGCGTACATTATATAAATCGATAACACTTCATGTATGTGTAATAGCTAGATCCAGAGAGTGCTCGAACTACTTTGGAGGTCATTAACCAACAAGAGAAAACGAAGGAAAATCCATCCGAGAATGCAGTTACGACAGGTGGTGAACCGAATAAGCCACGTACTGTGACGTACGAGGAGTTACGCGATAGGTTGCATAAGAGAATTGAAATGCTTCGTGCCAAGCGTCATGCTGATCAAGCTGCCAGTACTGCCAAAAGTGCAAAAGAATGGCAAAATCAAAAGAAGAGCGATTCTTTGAAGCGGAACCGCAAGAGCAAGGCCGTAGATCCAGAAGCTGCAGACGGAGAAACGGGATTATCTGCAGCTAAGCGACCCAAGCTTGAGACCAAACAAGTAAATACTGTCCCAGATCTCAATACCCCGGTTGTGTTCCTGAATACATTTGATACTTGCGGAACATAGTTATTTGTTTTTTGTGTATTGCCTTTATCTTTGGAATTCTGAAATCCCTGTAAGTTGTGAGGCTAGAGATACTTCGTTGCTAGCAGTGTTTTGCATCAAATATGAGTATATGTGGATGCATTGTTTGGATGTGCTGAACTTCATTGAACCGGAATGACCCAGCCGGCTCCTGCTGTCGTTGAAGAGGAATTAGAATTTAGTAGAGTGAAGATGGGCATTGGAGCATCTCCCGGACTAGTCAAGAAGAAAAAACCATCGAAAGAAAAACTTCTTGCCCAGGTCTTAGCTTATGTCCTCTTAATTTTTTTGCTACTGCTGCTTGTATGAAATATGTATAAGATTGTTTTGCTGTTTTGCGTATCAGTACATTGTGAAATGATTGCATAATGACAATAGTTGGATTCTTTTAATCTGCTGAGGTACGCTGCAAGGAAACAATCATTATCATCAAGCTCTTAAATGTCTACTTTCGAACTGTCCATCTGCAGGCATCAGCTTTGCAAAAGGAGATGCAGGATCCTGAGAAGGGACAGGTACCCAAATGTTTCTTTGATGCTCTAACACGAAGCCTCTTTTCTCTGTAGCCATTTCGCTGAGCTGGATTAATAGCTATTATCTCATTTGGATGAATCTTTATCTTCTTTTTTTGTGAGGTTTTGTTGATGTGGTGGATTTTTTTTTCAGGAAGTTGCATTGAAGCATGCATGGGGCGCTGCCGTAAGTAGGGCTGCTGGCGAAAAGGTGAATCCTTGTTAATTTAATTATTGTGGCAGAGATTATTGTGTTCTGAATGGGTTGAATATTTTCCTTCAGAATGTCCTCACCAGCAGCTAACTTCTGCACTGGAATCTTGATTTGTGCAGGTGCTGGATGACCCGAAGCTGTTGAAAAAGAGTATCAAGAGGGAAGAAGGGCATCAAAAGAAGAGTGCCAAGAAATGGTGAGGTTTGGATCCTTTAATGACATTGTTATCGTAGTGAATAGTCTATTGATATGTTCTCACTTATTACTTCTTTGCTGATCTTTAGGCAAGAAAGGAAAGAGATGGAGAAGAAGATACTGCAGAAGAAGCAAGAAACCCGTAAGGAACATATACAGCAGCGGGCAACTGAGAAGAAGGAACGATCCATCGCTAAGGTCAGTCTATCTTTGAACACATTGTGTGTGCAGATCTTGGAATTCTAGTAACTACACATTGTAGTTTACTGTGTGCCATTTGTTGGATTGTCAGTAGTTTCTACTTAGCCATTGGTTTTGAACATTGTTCGGCTCTTTCTGGTGCAGAGAGAAAAAAAACTAGCAAGACCTGGGTTCGAAGGCCGAAAGCAGGGATTTATCAACAGAGGAGATTAATGTCCGGTGTGTTGTCCAAATCGACTGATTCACTGGCGTTGTAACACACATCAAATGCGGGTGAAAACCACAACAGCTTTTCTGGTTCTACTGCCTGTCCCACAGCTTAGAGCCTATTGAAAGTAGGCGTTCGCTGCGTAGTTTATGAGGTTCTGGCTTCTACTGGGAAATCCGTGACTGCTTTCAACTACAGATTCAAAACGCATAATTCCTGGTCGTGTCTGAATGCCTCTCAGGTGCAGCTGGTAGTAATTTACTCAAGGACAATGTTTGAGCTTAAAATGTACTATAGGACAAATTTGTATTCGATTTCAGGTTGAGGCGATCGTAATTTAAGTTCCACAATCAAACTTCATCGCTGCAATTGGCCAGGATCAGTGGAATTCGCCATTTCAATTTACTCTACCCTTGTGAATTTGAAAGGTGTATGGATAGTAAATCGAGTTCATGGAAGGGAAGCTTGCTGCTGGATTTACTCTGGTCATGTTCACTCGTGTGCATCCCTGTACATAGGTTCAGCGGTGTAGAGGCCCTATTGTATTTCGGTGGTGCACACGTACTATTGAACTTGTGTTAGGTGCTCATACTTAGTCAGAACGTAAGGCTGATAATGACTAACAATGGCTATGAGTCGAGTGTAGTTGAGCACCAGGAATCCTCTCTGCATGTTTGAATAGGTGTGCAAGCTGTTGTGTATCTCTGACAGAGGCATCAGAAATGATATGTTTGATACAAAAGTCACCAACTGTATTGTATTCTAAGAAGACCAATTAGATTACAAAATGTCCTTTTGGTATTGTCAAATCACAATGTAGTTTGAGTGTAAGCTTGTTCAAAGAAACAATATATTATACTTGCAACATTCATTAACATGTAGACTTATGTAGATATTACTTGATAATGTGTACATATGTATGTATGAAGTGGTAGGAAATTTGATAAAGAGAACATGTATCTAATTTTAAAAAATATTTAAAACTTATAAATATTTTTTAGCAACCAATCTTACCTTCTACCATACAATTTAAGCTAACACATTTATTTTGGTGCAAAATACTCACTAACAACAAACAATTGTGTAATTAAAAAGAAGTTGAATAAAATTCTATAATCATTATTATAAAAAAAAAAAAAAAAACATTTTTAACTATGATCTTCTATTGGCATTTTAAAAATATACGGTCTTATATAATAATAATAGGCTACAAAATCAATGTGTTTTTAGTGTTTGTTTAATTTTTTTTGTTCTACTATTTTTAAAATAAATACCAATTTCTTATAAAATATCAATATTTTTTTGATGATTGGTCTTTTTGTTTTATATCCTCAATAGTGCCAATACAAATCTAAAAAAATAATATTTGCTTAGAATTTGTCATTTTGTTTTTATAATAATCATTTTTTGCACCTACTTCAATAAATTTGTGAAAATCAGAAAAATTAGAAGCATATTAGAAAATACACATCTTCTTATTTAGATACATTTATAAATATACTAATGTTTTAAAATATCTATGTAAAGCCTTTTGATGTCCTTTTTAATTTACAAATCTATCAAATCATAGACTTGATATCTCTTTTAATAGCCTAAAAATATACACTTTAAAATTTTAAAACAATTCTTGGTCCTAAAAGCAAAAAGTATTCATTTAAAAAAAATTATCAATTAAGTTTAAAAGACATTTTTCTCTATTTGTAGTTGAGGTTATTATTGATTTCCAAACATATAGATGCATAATTTCAAACAACTTTGTTGAATGAGTTGATTCACCCTTAAAGACATCACAATTTTTCTTTCCTTGTCTTTAATGCAATCTTACAAGCTAAAAACATGGTACTAATATTTGTACTTACTTTGGTCATATAAAACTCAAAAATTATTGCTACTTCTAATCTATTTATATTTTTATAATTGATAAAAAAAATAATTTTTATTTTATTTTCTCTCATTTTCTGTAATTTCATCGGAATTCTTTAGAATGCATATTAATTATGTCAAAGTATAATATGAAACTTTTAAATACAAAAATTGGGATAAATTTTATTTAAGAAAATTAAATGTCTGAAAATTTATTATTTCTAGTTTTACTTTTTTCTTCAATTTTTATGATGAAATAATTTACAATAATAAAATAATTTATGATAAAATAATTTATACATTTAGCACCTTTAAATATATAATTATTTATGGGATTTTTTTATGAATATTAAAAAAAATTCTTATCAGGTGTTAAATGTTTTGAAGAACCTAAATCTACAGTGCTTTTGTCTATCGTATCCAAAGAGATTCTTTCGTGTGCCAAAAATAAAGAATTGTCTCTGATGTATATGTTTGCATTTATTTATTTTTCTTAATTTTTTTTACTTTTTAAAAATAAAACAATATATTTATAAATAAATGAATATATGTAAGACAAGTTTTTATATTAGATTTTATTATGAAAAAACATCTTTTGTTTTGGCAAAGAAGTTATATTAAAATCTTTATTTTATAGCTCTTACTACATGATAATTGCATGCAATAATCTGGATATAATAAATGAATTTTAAGACTCTACACAAATAGATTTCTAAAGAATTTTTTAATTTAATGTAAAATTAAAAAAAACCAATCAATAATGTCATCACATTATCAAATTTTTCCATAAAAGAATCTAAAATTAAAAATTGATTGTTAAGTACTTTTATTATGTAAATGTTGGCCTACATATCTTTACATTCTTCTATTTTACATGTAAAAAGATTGCAAAATATAAAGATAAATATAGAAATATTTTTCTTCCTATAGATATTGAATAGTATCTTCCATACTTTTACCACTCTTTTGAAACAAGTGATGTAAGAAAAATTCTTATTTTCTATACTAACACAAATAATACTTAAAGCATTCTTCAAATACATCTCATAATCTCTTTTGACTTTGGATTAATCATAAAGTAGCCATAAAAAGCATATCTTAATCATCACTTAAGAAACCTTTGCAATTGAAGTTGCAACTTAACAATAATAACACTATCTATCTAGAAATTTGATTTGATTTAATATTATCTTTCAGAAATACTAAATCCAACAACCATGTTCAAATTCATTCATTCTTACAATTGTGGATAAGATTACATAGCCCAGTTTTTTCCCAACCTAAAATCTAGCTTTCAGTTATGTAACTCAAAGATTGTTCTCCGTTCCGTTTGACATGAACACAAACTCATTGAGAAAAAAAAAAAAAAAAAAACAAAAAAAAACAAAAAAAAAAACAAAACAAAACAAAAACAACAACAACAACAACAACAATACATAATTTGTTTACAAAAAAATGAAGAATCAACTTTGGAAGGTGGTACTTGCCGTGAATCTTCATGTATTTCTACATCAGCGGCACTCTAGTAGACGTGGTTTTTCATCAAAGGGATTACTGATGTCAAGGAAAACGAAGAGTAAGCATTTCATTAAGGACCCAGAGGAGCCCTCTGAGGAATTCCTTTCCGCCTCTTCGCGGATCTGGTGTACACTGTAGCGGTCAAGCAAGCTGGTCTCCTGCATGACTGTACGTTAATCACACAATTGTGTGTTTTTGAATTGAGGTGGGAATCACATTGTTGGCTCACGGTACTGGCTTCATCACGAATCTCTTGGCCATCACAGACTGTGCAAACTGGAGAGGAGGGGGCAGGCAACAAAGAGAGTTTCTTTGTTCGAGGGGCCTTCCTGTGAAATGAAGATTCTTCTGAGTTGAGTGTACTACTGGGATGCATGTGGTTATCAATGCTCATCAACGGTTGATGCCGAGGCATGAAGGTGAGTTCGAGGTTTCTCTCCATTCCTCCCAGCTGCAATTGAAAATCTTCTCTCACCATGAGAACGGAATGGATTGGAGTTTCGGGTGCAACGCGAGTAGTAATGAAGTTAGTAGAAGATAAATGTGGTGGATTCTTGGAGAATTACGTGCCTTGCATCCCAGAGAACAGAAGCGGTAAGATTCAAGGAGGCTGCGTCCACACCCCTCGCAGATGCTGGTCACACCTTTGGCAGGCCGAGGTTGAGGCCGCTTGTTAAGAAACACCACCCTCGCACTGTTAATGATGTACGTCTGCACACAAGTGATGTCCAGCACCTTCTGAATCTCTGATACACGAAGAACATCGTGATAGGATGAGCGCCTTATCTGCGACCAATATGAGCACGTTCAGGGTTCGGATTAAAAAATTTGAACTTATGAAGCAGTTCACCAACCGTCACACAAGGTATTCTGAACAGGGGTGACTGAGGAAGGTGGCGACCTACCTGTACCACATGGTGGTCTTTGTGGCTTGGGAGACACAAAGAGCACATGCTGTCACCCATGCACTGTAAGCAAAATAAGTTGCATTCGCCCTTGTGCGAACTCAGCCCGTGGATACGGCACGATGCAAAGAAACTAGTCTTCAGAAGAGGCTTCAACCACCCTGGGCCCATCTCATTTGTACGCCCCTTACTCCTGATCCAAAGTTCGCCTAGAACAGGTGTTGTCTACACAAATTCAAGTTTCAGAAGCATGTACTAGATCATTAATACTGTTGATTTCTTTGAATTAATCAGAAGCTAAGGTTCGTAGAAACCATTTCTCTGTCGAAATGTAACCAAAGCTTTAGACATATTTACGCTAGAATAGCAACCCGCGAGCTGTAAATTGAGCCTCCACTCTATACTGCGAGGAGTGTTCGAGTCCCAAAGATCTCAACAGCAGGTGAGTCAACTCCACCTAAGTGCAGCGTGCCGTTATCTAGGTCGATTTGTTACTGAGACAGGCCTCCATAATCATGAGGTGGGGAGGCATTACCGACCCGACCCTCTCGATCAAACTTGAGCTGGACTCAAGCCTCTAGTCTTGTCTAACTCATGCATCAAATGAAGGCTAAAGAAATCAGAGGCCGTACCCTTTTTCTTGCTCGATTCAGCAGAAGCAAAACTAGAAGATTTTTGCTGCGCAGACGTTGTCTCCCAGCTCAGTTCAAGGAACGCATGATGAATGGACGTCGAATAAACAGGAACATCACAAAACAATCACGCCTTCTCTACATCCGAACAAGGAATCCTGCTTACAACAAACCTACAGTGGTCGACCTTGGACTGTGCTCCGCTTCATCCCACCGCCTAAACCAAATCCGGTGATCGGCATTCACTACCAAATGTACCCACATCGAGAAAGCAGATGGTTCAACATAGACTACCTACATCCCCCATCCTGCATAGAAAACAGTTGCCAAGGTGTGAATTCCCTTAACATTCTGCAGTTCCTGACACAGCAAGAGCTGGCCCCGTGCGGGGCTTGTTCGAAAGGTGGGAAAGCAGAGAGAAAGTGAAGGAGTTACACGGGATGCTAAGAGAAAGGCGTGATGGGAGCCACAGTAACTAACTGTCGGTAGTGATTGGTGGCTCCATAACTGCCCCCCTTCTCAACGCGACCCCGGCTCCGCGACGCCTCTCCGATCGCAACCGTTGCGTCACTTGCTCATTTCCCTGTTCTCACTGCCCCCCCCCCGAGTCGTTCGTTCGTGACGCCATTTCTCCCTTTTCACACCGCCGCCCAACTCCCTAGTGTCCCTTCCATGGGTTTTCGTTGTTTGGGCCAAGGATTCTTAGTAAGCACATTGTATAATGTGTATAATTATCACATGATGCAATGTGTTCACTAAGAAGCAATAAGTAGAATTATTAATGATTTTTTGGATCACTTTGTTGGTTGTTGTGTATAATTAATTGTCATGTAGAATACAAATAGTTAGGTGTCAAATTTTTATGTTTTCATGTGACTTATCATGTAGCCATGTAAATATTTATTTTTCCCATTTGCCATAATATTTCATATTTTTAATGTTCATACGTTTTGTAGAAAATAATATAGTAGATTTTAACATATTTAGAAATAATTGTGGACATGAGATAATAAAGATGTGATTTAGTAAAACCATTAGAAAAAAATAATTGGACCAATAAGAAGATAATGATTGAATGATCAATTGATGCTTTTGATAGAAATAGATTTTGTTTTACTAGAGAATGTATTTGACTTGTTATTAGTTCAGAAGTTAATACAAGATTAGAGCCATTTTTTTGCATCTTTGTGTGTCTCAATTAACAAATTCCACAAATCATGCTCTAATTTCCTTGTTTCTCTCTAAAAATATTTTATTCTCTAATAGGTTTTATATAATCATTATCTTATTGGACTTGTATTTCTCTAAGAATATTCTATCAACATTTTCTTAAAAAATTTAATGTTTTGTGATGTGGAAATTCAGTTTTGATTGGTTATTCACTGAAATTGCAATGAAAGTTTTTACATGTAATTCAGAAATGAAGTATAATACATAATTAAATTTATATACGTGTAATTTTAAATTTTATTTATACATATAAATATAAATATAAATATTTTTTATTTTTTTAATTTATTTTTCAAAAGATAATTAAGGGTCTCTAGTGTTAATACGTATTATGACATGATGGAATACTACTTTAAAGTTTCTTTAATTTCTCTTCAGATAAAATAAGTAATCTATTACATGGTGCCATGTAATTGATTTTAATCACATTAAAATCAATTATCTATTCTATAGAAAAAAGGAAATTGGATTCCAATACAGAAAATGTAATATAATATTTATAATATTTATAATATTTTTGATATATAATATAATACAATGTAATATAATAATGTAATACCTACAATGTAATATAATATAATACAATGTAATGTGATATAAAATTTTTAATATTTAAAAATTAGATATCAATACCTACACAATACAACACCATGTAATGAAACTCCTGACCCAGTTCTCACCTTAACGTAATAATAATACAACAACAACAACAACAAAATCCTGATCAATGCGGACGAAAACAATCGAACCGAACGAACGAACGTCACCCAAACGACGAAATTCTGCTCATCGTCGCCGACGTCGGGAGGGGCTCCGTCCGCTGGTACTTTGGAGTTCATTCAGAACGCCAATCTTTAAAGTAATCTAAAAAGCTCCTTTTATAAATAAATTAAAAGCAAAAGAGGGCCCAGCCTGCGCAAGCTCGGAGAAGAGTGAGGATGCGTCGCTGGCTTTGCAAAGCTGGCTCATCGTCATCGCTGCCTTGCTGCGTCCTGTGGCCATCCTTCGCAGATAAGGAAGGGTGCCTATCAGCAGCAGGACTAGATTGGTTTGGTTTGGTTTTCCCGTGGATTGTTTGTTGGAAGCCACAGCGGCATTGAAGTTGGGTGCTGCTCGAGATTGCGAGAAGAATGGTGCTGTGTGTGGAGAGAGCCTCCGCCGCAACTGGACTCTGCTCCGTCGCCACCACCGTGCTCCCATGTCATCCTCACAGACTCCCCTTGAATGCCAAATCCTGTGTATCTCGTAGGGTGCAGCAGCTCTTTCCAGGCGCCAATTCCTCCGCAGGCAGTGTATGCACGGGTGTGTCCGTCTCCCCATTTGGCAACGTTCTTTTTTTTTTTTTTTTTTTTTTTTTTTTTTTGCGGGGAATGAGTTTGATGGGTGGTGCTGGGGGACTATTAGATTCGAGGTGTGGTAGTTGTGTGTTTTTCGGCTGTGGGTTTGTATGCAGAGCTCTTCGGGTGTTGGCATTCTTCTTTGGGTAGTCCTCTTGTCGATGACTAGTGTTAACCACAAAAAAATGACACATAATAGGTGATTTTCATATTTGGGTAGAACGCTGCAGTTTTGATAACTTCTCCTTCTCGACGCGTAATTGTGAAACAGTGGAATCAGTGTTTTTTAAATTTTTTCCTTATTCTTTAAAAACATGTTTCGCTATCCAGCAGTATAGGTCGTGACAGATAAAAACTATAATCGATGAATGCAGTCTATTGGAGATCTAACTTCTCAGTGTCGCACACCTTTGCTTGACTGCTTCGAACTTCCATTTTTTCTTCTTTTTTTTTTTTTTTTCCATTTTTAAAGAAAAAATTGACTTGCTTATTTTGATTCAGTTTTAGGCTTTGAGTATTTACTAGAGGAAACGTTGACATTAAAATTCAGTCGCCAGGGTGGGAGGTCAGGACGCATGGCTACCGGAGCAACAATCGTATGTCATTCATGGCAGTTGCACCCAGCCAGTCTGAAGCTGCCGGGGTGACAGAATCAGGCAAATTCTCCCAAACCGACGAGGACCTTGAGTCTGCAGGATTTACTTGCCATTCAACGATTGAAGATCTTGATCTGGATCAACTCAATGCTTTATTTTCCAAGGTACGTATTCTCCTTCAAAATCTAAATTCCATTCTGCAACAGATGTTAATTTGCACAACCTGTCACGAGCATTGTTGCATCGGCTGATTAAATTTGTTTGTTTTTGTTTTTAGTTTTAGTTTTTTTATTACAATAGTTGGTTGGGAGCTTTTAATCAAACTTCTCGCGGCTAATGGACACTGATTAAAAAAAATATGGTCGTAAATGTCTACCAGGTTTCGTTTCCGCAGCGAGACAAGGGTAAACTCTTGAGAGCATTGGAGAACACACAGTCTCTTGTATGGATACAGGAAATCAAGACAAGTAGGCTCATTGGCTTTGCTCGCGCTACAGGGGATAGGGTTTTTCATGCCATTATATGGGATGTGGTAGTAGATCCAGCTTACCAGGGGCTGGGCTTGGGTAAGGTACTCATGGAGCGACTGATGGCTGATTTAATGAAGATGGGCATTAGCAATATAGCTTTGTACGCAGAACCTACAGTAATTGGTTTCTATCAACCGATGGGATTTATAGCTGACCCGGACGGTATTCGAGCCATGGCATATTCAAGGCGAAGATAGCACACAGACGATTAGCGTTCACTTCGTTGGATTTGGTTCAATCTAATCCATGCTAGATCATGTAAAGAAAACGCTTAGCTGTTGCTTTTTGTATATCCCCTAGGCGTGGCTCATGCGTTAGGAGAGAGCTATTCATTTATGGCTGCAGGACGATAATTGAGTAGACACTGGACATTTGCACACAATGTGAGCATTTGCCACTTTTCTTAACATTCCATAACTGACAAATTACAAAACTTTTTAGCAGCTGTTGTACAAAAAATTTCATGTAAAACAAATCAACTCAGAAATCTCACATATACACGGGCAATAATTCTTTAAAATGGAACTGCCAACGCAGTAGAGTCTGGTAATTTGAACTAATCTGGACACATACAACTGTCACATCCTTGAACATGTGAGGACTCAGTGTTAAAAAAACTGTACTGTAGCACAAACTCAAGATGGCATAAAGTTCATCTAGTGTCGCGAGTAATCCAGCATCTGACATGTTCACACGATAGTTGTAACCCATCCCCAAAGTCTTCTCGCCCATCCACTCAAGACACTTAAGCCCTTCCACAGTAGCAGCTGCTCCATGTGAAATATCTCCAATCCTTTTCAATGAAAGACGTCCCAGATTCCACTGAACACAATCGTTGGTGAAGTAACGCAACCTTAACTACCAAAAAGGCCCCAGCTCTTGATGAAGAACACATCAGTCGCCAGCCAAACTGCGTCTGACGACTCGCCTGAGCAAATAATAGACGGCAGCCACCACGTCCCAAAACGGGATAAAAGCAACAAAAACTAAGCGTGAAGATGCCCTCTTGACTAAAGATCTCTACGAACAGTCCTTGCCCAAAACCTGATTGGTAATCCAATAACATACGCATAGCAGCTTAATTAATCTGCAAAAGCAAGGACAACTAATCCTACTTACAACTAGACATAAACAAAGTAGCAGATGAAAAGGCAAGAAATCGCCCAGAACAGACAAAGGCTAGTGAACAAAATGTCTGACGCAATGAAGCATAGCAAAAAAGGATGCAATCACATATCCATGCGTCACATACAATTCGCGCATGTTGCAAGTTGAGAAAAAGACTTTCCCCTGCAAGGATGTGGAAGGATGCCATGGTCTTATGACAGGATACTTAGTTGTTGGCGGGAATTGATTTTGCCAAAGCCCTGCACAAACATCAGATATCATGGCCAATGCTTCAGCGAAAACCATACTACCACGCCAAAAACTATAATCAACGAAAAACTTCGACCATAGGACAATATGCTCGAACCCGATCTCTGTTGAGCGGGCATAGCAATATGTGCTCAACATGAACTACACAAACAGATACTACCTTCAATAATACACTTCCACTCCACTCCATCTTACTGGCTGCTTTTAGACGGTGATGGAGAGCTACTACTTCGACCGCTGGGGCTGCTATTTGCAATGGTCCTGAAACCCCGCAGCAACAAATGATATTAATCACAAATGCAATAAAACTACAAAAACGATGCAGAAAATGAGAACTCCATTTCAGGCAATTTGGAGAACAGAATTCTAGTTGTGTCATCAAGCAATTAAAACACAAAAAATTAAAAGGTTGTGGTCGTTCAAATAAAAAAAATCAGTGGCTAGATTGAACGGATATTCTTACTTCTTTGGGCTTCGGCTTTTCGAAAAATCCTTGGCGCCACGTGGTGGGGAAGTGCGCTACAGAAGGGACAGAATACAACAAACGTCAGAAAATTAAATAACTTGAACACAGGAATACTAGGAAAACCACAAAATGAAATGACCGGGAGAATATTCAAGCATCGGACCTTCCAACAGAAAAATAGAAAAAGATTTAGGAAAATGTTTTTAAAAAAATGACGAAAATCCACCTTGGGCTTTCAATGTCATGCAATTAAATCCAAATTATTCCAGATTATTCTAGACTCAGAAAACCAGTAAATACTTTCGCAACATTTAGAGACTAGAGAAGCACAGACTAAGACATGATAGCACCGAGCAGCTTCAGGGTGAGTCCTGTAAGAAGATATTAGTCACCTTCTTTGCAGGGCTTGGTGAAGATGGGTAAGAGGTGGACTTCCTACGCTTGCCTACAGGAGATCGTGCCCTGCATGTACACAACACACTGTGAATGAGGAGGAAGGGACCACATTCAGAGGTTTAGAACAATTAAGAGTTGTTTAAAAAATAAAATCCAAGAACAAACAGAATTAGCAGATACTCACACTATGTGATGCTGTTGTGAAGCCAAAAAAAATCAACCACAACACAACTATAATACCTTCTCGGAGGTGAACGAGATCTTGAACGTGAACGAAGTGGTCGGCGCGGAGGTGGAGACCTGCTGGTACGGCGTCTTGGTGGAGATCTGCGGGGTGGTGGTGACCTTAAGCGCCTCCCGGGTGGAGGAGACCTGACATTCAATGCAAGCTAGAAAGTAAGATACTGGACCAAACTGCACTCCGTAACGTCTGCAAGTAATCAATCAGACTACTCTGTAGAAATACTTCACATTTATTTAGAACTTATCCCCCCCGGTTTTCTATGTAAAAACATATATGTAAAGAACAGTGTATTTACGACAATCAGCTTCACTTACCTCCTTCTGTACGGTGGTGGTGGTGAGCGCTGTCGTCCAACAGGGCTACCTCGTATTCTCCTAGGAGGAGACCTGTTAATTCAAAAAACAGAAATCTCAAAAAATTGGGAAAATTCATCTGAAACAGTAGAGCGTTACTAAACAGAAATGAGAAAATCGTTCGAATTTGGACTGCACACCTAATAGGTGAACGACGACGACGGCGAAAGGGCGATGGGGAGCGTCGGCGAGGAGATGCTAAAGCGGGCCGTCTGCGGGGTGGCGAGTCAGCCATTCTCCTTCGGGGTGACACGGAACGCCTTCGAGGGGGAGGAGAAGGCGATCGTCCTCTACGGGGTGGAGGAGCTGCGAGACCATAAACGATTCAGATTCATTGCAGTGACAAACAACTATACAATTCATTGGATACTAACAAGACTCATGCAAACGTGAAAAGCCTAAAGAAATGACACTTACAATCACGACGCCGTGAACCATCCTTCAAACCATCACGTGGAGGCCCGTCTCGCCCCATGATCTCCCTCTTAGGAGGAGGTGAAACACCTCTTTTCAAAGGAGGACTGGCCTTTTTCCTCGGCACCAAAATAAACTGTGCACTCACTATGTTTCCATCAATTTGGCCCTGCACAAGTAGGACTCGCGTTGTTCAATAAGCGTTTTGCAAAACTAGCACCAAAATGAGCTTCCTTTCATCATATAACAAGGGTTTCAACACAAAATAAAACAAATCAAAACGACCTTGGTAACAACAACACGAGAGAGAAACCATATGAATTTTCGTGGGGAAAAGGACACAAACCCCGTCCATATGCGCCAATGCCTTCTCAGCATCGACTCTTGTTTTAAACTCAACATAACCGTACCCTTTCGGCAGATTCACCTGTTCATCGCGTCAAAAGAACGTGGAATTCAGTTCTGACTGCATAAATACTGAAAGATAAATCATAAATGAAGTGTATAATGCGATTGAAGAAGTAAAATATTCCGCCTTGATATTTACCAATACTACTGGAATAATTCCAAGAACAAAAAATCTAAGACTGTGAAGATGCAGATCAGCTAAGTACGTCAAATAAGTCCCAAGAACAAACACCACATTGGGAAGAACAAGTTAAAAGACTCTAAAAATAAAAGAAACTGTCCCTTCTGATTGGTGAGCAACAGAAGCCAACAAGAATGTGACAAAAGGTCATAGTGCCTTACAGTGCGATCCATTGCCAGCTCCACATGCACAATTTCTCCATAATTTCCTGTAATAAGCAAGTATACCAAAGGCAGCTTCACATTTTTAGTAAAGTAGAGAGCCATCCATCCACACGCATGATTCCTAGACAACGAACAAAGCTACTATTACAATTCTTTATAAAGTATAAAGCTCACAACACCCAAGACAATGTAACGGCGATAAAGAGAAGGGCTGAGTCTCAAACATACCAAATATCTCTCTTAGATGTGTCTCGTTTACATTTCGAGTAAGACAACCAACATGTAACACAGTAGACTCAGGTGTCGGAGTACGTAATTTTCTGCGATCCAAAATAAGCAGGATGATCAGAAAACAACAAGCCGATAAGCTTGAAGTATCAACGATGTTCAAAGACAGCGGATACACAGGTGTCTCAAACACCAAAAAAAATCACACCACGAACAAGAACCAACGGCCGGCCCAGGGCTCCCTCTACCAGCTCGAAACAAGACAATTCGCACAGGAAGAGCTATACAAATTCCTTACTTGGCAGGGGAAATTCTCTTGGGTGGAGGGGAGGATGATCTGATTTTTTTTGCACCTGAAACACCACTGCACACAACCAAAACCGTAAAGAATATGTTAAGCGGTTGACCAAACACACATGATCTCTAAATGGAAAAATATACCGAGCATCTTATAAGAAGGTTCTCGGACACTTCCTGTCCAAACAGTATGCCTGCACAACAAAATGTAGCCGGGATATCTGTACTCTATAGTATGAGACATTCAACTCTTAAACTAAACGACCATTTACTGCTCAGCTCCTAGGTAGGATGCTAAGGAAAAAAAAATATGGTGAAACATGTGAAGTGGAGTTGCCTTGCAGCTTCTGAGGATGCAACACATGGTCGAAAATTCTGCAAATACTAATGCAGAGCTAATGTATGAGGCACAAAAGCAAATGAGAAACCCGTCTCGATCTTCGCGACTGTACACCACTCAGGAAGATAAACTAAAAAAGAGTAAAAAAAAAATCCTGAATCATGAACAACAGTTGGAATGCATGTTCATATCCACTTTGGTGGACCATGATAATACCATTAGACTCTATTCTCACCAGGGACATTCAAATGGCATTTTTACCCCATGTTCATGTTTAGGTTTTACCACAGACTACCTGGTTTTTGCAGGAGGGCTCCGGCTTCCGGAGACTTCGCTTCCAGAAGAAGAAGACGACGGTGACCTTGATCTTGAACCTGATGCTGATGATGAACCCGTATAAGAGGATGACCCAGTGGTAACTGATGGTGATGCCGCTCTAGGTTTTCCTACTGTTTTTGCCATCTCTTTTTACTCGGCCAGCTTCCCTCCAACCAAATGCATGCGAGAGTATTCCACACCCCTAAAAAATCAAACAGTACAATGACACCGATTCAAACCCAAGGGCATAAGCAGAACCTCTGATAGAATTATACGCCCGGGGAGCTTACTAAGAGCATTCAATACATGCTCATCTTGGCACGTAAAGAACCACATTTCCTAATCCGCTTCAAAAAGAAAAACAACGTGAGCATTAAAACAGCGTTCAAGATATTACACACAATACTCAACCATCGTTTCCAACAAAAAAACCGCACTTCAATCTGCTTAACAAATGCACGGCCAACCCGACAAACAAAACATCATACCATTGGCTTTAAGATTAACACCGCTATTTCAAATGGCCAGAAAAGTACTCACCAAAAAAACTAAAAACCAATAAGAACCCCACCCTGTAAACGCAGTAACGACCTTTTCCAACACTACATTTAAAATTAAAACCAACCAACACAGCCACTGTCTTCAACCAAAATACAAAATACAAAATTTAAAACCAATGAAAACTCTGGAAGGAACGTAGTCCAGCATTAACCCGAACAAAGCAGAGACTCTCCACAACGCCACCGAAAACGCAAAATCCTCATTAACTGAACGCAGAGTCCATCGTTTCAATCAAACAAGCGCTCATTGCAAAGAGGACAAACGGGATATACAGCCAGTGAATAGGACGAGCTTGAACGCACCCTTGCAGAGATGAAACGGTCGGAATGCTCCCGGAAAACCAACGCAGACACACACACACACACACACTCGAAGTGGAATCCTTGTCGCGCTTCACGACTCTCTCTCTGCATTAGGGCAACCACATTTTCCAACTACATAGGTCTTAGATTCTATCCGAAATGTGTACCCCCTGGGTACATATTCCGTGGAGGTAACTGGCTCGTCTTGTTTGACGCTGCCTGAGTGACGACGCTCAAAACCCATTTCCGAGAGTGGATGAGTGAATTCATCCATTTAAGAACAGTTTCGTTGGATGAATATTGCATTGGTCTGCGTTTTGATCCTCTTCGACGCTGTGAGCGGACAGGTTTGCTTTCGGCGTCACGGCTTGTTTGATTGATCGGTGAGTGAGTAATCGTTTGAATTTTTTAGCCGTCGAAGCCGAATTCTCATGAAATCAATCCCGCGCAGCTGAGTTCTCGCTGTGTTGAACTTCAATTTGAGGTTCGAGTGGGGGTATGATGAGTTTTTGGGTTTGAACAATCCCGCTGTGAGCTTGTCGTTCCTAGGCTCGGAGGAGATTCAGCGTAGGAATTAGCGTTGTGGGAGTTGCAGCGGCCGCTGATGCTTTAGAGCTGGACTGTAGAGCTTCTTTGCAACAAAGTTTTACGTGATTTAGAGGATTTTTGCAGGAATTAGGGTTTCTTTGCACATTTAATGGATTGCTGTTTGAGACCGACATCGTGGAGTCGACATGGGTATGGATTGGAAACTGGGAACCGGAGCATTGACTTCTCGGGTGTGAATAGTAACAGGGCTGTGTGTTTTTCGTTCGTTAGGAATGGGTTCGTTCGGTATGCATTGCAAGTACATGAAGCTTATTGGAAAGTTAGCAACGATGGATTGAGTAGAACATTTGCGGTTGTTTGTGACAATGGCAAAGTGGGGCAGGAAGAGAAGACTGCTGTGATTGTAGGAGCAGGTCCTGCGGGGTCTTTACTGGCATTACTGTTAGCAAAGCAAGACTGGAAGGTAGACGTGTTCGAGAGCAAGCATTGGAGTGATGGGAGCTGGGCCCCTGGGCAGCCGGATGGGTGGAATGTCATGCTGGGAGCTCGAGCTGCTTATTGCCTGGAACATGTGGGTCTCAAGGATGACGTCTGGTCCGAAGGAGTCTTTTGTTCTGGCCGCACTGTTGTCGCAGGTACGTATGCGTGAAGACCATAAAGCCCCGATTTTAATACGAATTATCTTGCAACGGTGCAGGGTTTAGGACTTAGGGTTTAAGATACAGGACTCTGTTTTGCATATCAACATTTATTATTTGATTGTGCAGGTGGTGGATTGAAGCCGAAGTACCAGCCATATGGTTATGAATTGTTGGCCATTCCACAGCCCAAGTTGGCGTCAGTGTTGATCAACTCTGGGATGCACAAGTATCCTGAGAGGATTTCTTACCATTTTGGATGGGGCTTAAAATCTTTGGACCCAGATGAGTCTGTTGCTGAATTCAGCCCTGCAGGTGAACCTCTAGGTTTGGCTGGTCGAGATAACATTGTTGTGACAGCTGATCTCGTGGTTGGAGCGGATGGACTTCATTCAAAAACCAGAGCTGAATTGGAGAGGAATATTTTTAGTTTCAAAACTACTCTTAAAGTTGTGCCTGCAGGTCGTCATATCAAGTAATTAATCTTATTCCCATGGATTTTGAAGTTTTATGTTGTTATGTTTGGAGGCGATTGATGATAAAAATCCGAGCAGGGTTCAACAGGCTTATCACACATGTTGAAGCTGAGATGGAGTAGGGCTAGCCTCTCAAATTGCGGGGTTGCTGGCGTATGTGTGGGTCAGGCTCAGAGTACCGGTAGACGTGGTGGGGGAGCAAGTGGATGAGAAAGGCAATGTGCATGGCCCAAGTATGCTTGTGGTTGCAAGAAATGCAAAGTTAATGTGGGGTGTTCCCAACCGGGATGGAACCATGGGGTTGACAATTCAGGGCATTAGAGGCTCCACCGCTGCAGATGTTTCACTGGAAATGCAGGAATCCTTCCCTGAGGTACGTCATGGTAACGAGCTATCTTTAGAGTCTTCATTTCTGCATCGATGTCTATAACCTACTTTTGCGAATCGTGATGAAATTTGTATTAGGTGATCTGGTTGTTTGATCATCTCTATTGAACAAGTTCATCAATGGCAGTTATCTGATTTCTTCGGTGCGGACGGGGATGCAAGCGCACGCTTAGCTGTTTCTCCCGAACGATTTCAAGGCACGGTCACTGCAACATCGTACAACTACAAGCAAACTGTACGTTCTTGCCTGCTAATTCGCATGAGAATCCCTGGTATACGCATGCTTTTAGTCGAGTGTTCAGAATGAGTCCTAATTTGCTTTGGTGATGTTTCTCAAATCCTCTAGACTTACTCAAGATGGGCCGCTCTTCTCCGCAGGTTTTATTGGGTGACGCTGCACACTCGCTGCTGAATGTCACTCACCTGGGTGCAGGCTTGGCGCTGGAGGATTGTCTTGTGTTAGATCGTCTCCTACAAAGCTCTTTGGAAAACCAAGATCATAGTATAGTTGAATGTATAGCAATCGCTCTGTCAAATTTTTCTAACGAACGTGTTCCAGAAATGGTTGCTGCAGCACAGCTTTGTACCGATGTATCTAGAACTAATATGTAAGATCTCCTCGCTATTCGCATTGCTGTTACAGGTCACATTGTATCAGTCTAGTAACTTTGTCCAACATTTAAGTGTTTGTGATCATTGTGATAATATTCAGAAAATGATTTCGGATTCTGTTTCAATGTGCAGGTTTCAAGTGGAGTTGCAAAGGGCAATTTTGAGGGTTGTTACGAGATTCCTGCCTAGAATCCAGCATTGGCAAAAGGCAGCCAATACACAAGTAGTATCAGTTCAACAATTAGTTAAATGGCGATCTAGAGAGATATTGATTGTACGGATAGCCCTCGTGTTTGCATTTGTGCTTTTACTGTTGCGTGCTATTCGTTTGGTGCGGCTGGCACTCAGAGTAGTATTGCCACTGGCCAATTTCTTGCCAAATTAAATGTAGCCCTGAACAAAATTGATGCTAAATTCAATACAATATACTTTGCTGCATCGATGGGAAGGCATGATTTTGTTCTTGTAGGATTTCTGACGACTTGACCTAGACAGTAGTATGTGTGTACAGGTCATAGAAAGCAAGATGACATCTTCTACATAGGCAAGTGGACTCATTGATTGTGAACTATGTGAAAGAGTTGTGCAACAGTAATTTACATTCCACTGCATTGTAGAATTAAAGTTAAGTACGAGAGCACAGAAGGCATCTACACAAAAAGTACGTGTATTAATAAAAAGTAGTATACAACCTTAGGACTCACTAACTAAAGCCCATTCCCTACAATTTGGAATAGTTTCTTGGATACATGTATTCACGAAAAAAAATGGCACAAGTCAACACGTGATGGTAATTACCAGTACAAAATCCTACCATGGTTTCTTGCCACCAAATTGACACTTCTACTGGAAACAGTGCCATTGGTCATATGAGACAACCCTAGTTATAAAGGGCTCTGACAAGCCAGACAGTTGATCAATACGAAATTTACTAGTTGGATTGAAGGCAGCACTTGAAGTTAAGTCCTCTGTTAAACTCAAAGAAAAGATTCATGCCCAAATCCAGAACCTCAACTAACCTGGTTCAATATTCTAACTATTTACTAGCCAGACGTGGACGACAAGATCCGTAGATATACTAAACATTTGCAGTTCCAGATAAGTACTCAAAACTATCACCAGTTCTAATAATTCTTTCCGATACCTTGACTAGCCTGGACTGCCAACAATTTTTTTAAGAATTTCTCACACCACACTCGTCGAACATTGTCATTTACTTCCTTTTGACGCTGCCTGCCCTTTTGGCTTTGATAAACTTCCTATTAGGTTTAGCACCCGAGTCTTGTCCAGTTGATCCAAGAGCAAAACCACCACCACCAAAGTTAAGAGGTTGTCCTGGCTGAGGCGATGGCGCAAAAGGATTGGCGGCAATAGGAGGGGAAGGTTGCGGAGTAGATGATGCTGCAAATGGATTCGCCACTGGAGAAGCTGCTGAACTCCCGAAGCCTCCAAATACTGGTGCAGGTGCGGGGGCTGAGGCGGTGGGTTTACCAAATGCATTTTGGGCAGCACCAAAAACGGGTGTTTGTTGTGGAGGTGGTGAAGAGGCCATCATCTGGCCATCATCAGCCATACTGTCTTCCATATCAGTTCCCGTCCCACCGTTTGGAGTGGATGAAAATGCAGGTGCCGAGCTACCTACGCCAAACATTGACGGAGAAGAAGGTTTCGCACCAAAACTGAAGGGTGCAGGTGATGCGGCGCTGGAACCACCAAAAGCAAATGCACCAGTTGAAGTAGTCGGTGATGGGGCACTAGATGCTCCAAATGCAAAAGCACCAGTTGACGTGGTTGGTAATGCGGCACCGGAACCAAAAGCGAAGGGAGAACCAGACCCAACAGAAGAACCAAATGAAAAAGGAGCTGGAGAAGGTGATGACCCCGTATTAGCAGAGGATCCAAAACCAAAGACGGGAGCATGAGATTGGGAAGGTTGTGCTGGAGCTTCTGAGCTGAAACCTCCGAAGGCAGGTTTGTTATTTGTATTAGACGTTCCAAATGCCGGGGTGCTGGACGCTCCAAATATGGGAGTGCTAGATGCTCCAAATGTGGGAGTGCTAGATGCTTCAAATGCGGCAGTGCTAGATGCTCCAAATGCAGGAGTGCTAGGTGCCCCAAATGTAGCAGTGCCAGAAGTTCCGAATGCGGGAATGCTAGAAGCTCCAAAAGCCGGGTTGCTGGAGGCTCCAAATGCGGAAGTGCTTGAGGCTCCAAATGCGGGAGTGCTAGAAGCTCCGAATGCTGGAGCACTTGACGACCCAAATGTAGGAGTGCTCGAAGCTCCAAAAGATGCAGTACTTGACGCACCGAATATAGGAGAACTGGAAGCTCCACCCAATGCTGGTGTTGGATTGCTCGACCCAAATGTTGAGCTGCCAAAAATAAGAGAGGATGACCCAAATGCATTTGTCGTACCAAATGAAGTCGTGGCCAAGGATGATGTCGAAGTAGTTGAGGTCGCAGGAGAGGGCTTAAAGCCAAACAGGGACGTGGAATTGGACGCTGGTGCTGGTGAGCTTGAGCCCTGACCAAAAACTGAAGTAGAGAAGTTCGCTGTCGATAACGCTGAAGCTGGGATAGTTCCGGCAGCGGACAATCCAAAAGTCACAGGAGCAGCCCCTGTATTCAATATGAACAAACGTAAGTCATGGAAGTAACACATCACCTTATCTTCAGCAAAACACTATCGAGAATTTTCAGTACACTCCAAATTTGATCCATCCCAGCAACAACACTGGAATAAAGAAGAAACAGCATATCAATAGAATAAGGCGAGCTGAAACATGATAAAGAAACATTTTAAAACCTTTGGAGTCTCAAATAAGTAGATTCTTGTGGTACCTGAATTATCAATAGTCTTCTCCTGACCAAACGGCCGCTTTTGAGGTCTATCTGCATCATCCAAAGTTGAAGCAGGAGCGGTTGACTGCAGAGGCGGAGCTGGAGAAGTGCTAGCTGCTGCCCCAAATGAAAATAGGTCCTTTTTCGTTCCAAAAGCAGAAGAGGATGTGGCTGCGGTTGATGGAGCCGGAGATACCGCTGCGTTTCCGAATAATTTAGAACCAGCACTAAGAGATGCATCAGCTTTCAGGGTAGCAGGTTCTGCAGATGGAGATGATCCCGTCTTGCCAGGATTGAAGAGATTTGTTTCAGTAGTTGAAACCGAGGTAGTCAAATTTGAGAATCCTGCAGTAGAACTAGCAGTTTGACCGCCTGAACCAAATATACCTGTAAAAAATGCAGACAAGCATCAGAATCTGACACGCACGTCACACGATTACCTGAAACAACGTACCCATACATTGAGATGGCTCTATAAAACATGTCTAAGTAAACCAGCTGTAGGTAATAAGTGTATATGGCATGTACATTCTGAATATAACTGCACAATATCCTGTGAAGGAATTAAAAACGTTAATTAGAAATAAGTCCTGATGCACTAAAATACAAGTACTGAACATAAAGCAACTAAATTCGTTACTACCTGACATTGCCCCCGCACCAGGGGCTCCAAATTTAGCCAACGAGAACGTGGAAGACAAGGATGTTGTAGCAGTCGTGGAGGTTTCCGGGCCTGACGAACCAAACATAGAAGTTTGTCCTTTTGGTGCTTCAGCTGCATTCGAAGTGTTAGATACAGACAAGTCACTGCGAGGACAAACACCCAAAGTAGGTTATTGAAAAAACAAAAAGTTACTTCATCAAAATTCTTTGGATAGGAACGCAACAAAGGCTAAGAAGTCAGTACAACCTACAAAGGCAAGATTCAGCGCGATCTTTGCACACCAAGGGCATACCTTTGTAAAGAGTCTGGTTTCCTTTCAGTCTGATGCTTAGATTTCGTCTCATCAGTATGTACACTATTATCAGCCCCACCTGCCCCTGTTGAGGGCAGTTTTAGTACCATATTATCAATTAGAGCACCTGTGTTGAATTTGTAACTAGGCGGGCCATTGGACTTAGATGCAGATTCTGTGCTGGATGGGGATGGAAATGGCTTAGGTGTCGGAGGCGGCTCCATGGTGGTACCAAAAGAATTGGAGGATGGAAATGTAAAACCCCCTAGAGCAGCAGTTGATTTTCCATCAATCACAGTAGTCTCTGAGGTATCCCTCTGAAACCCAAAACCAATTGAAGGACCAGATACGTCTGCTGTAAAACTCGAGGATCTGGGTGGATCATTATCGAACAAGCCAGCTCCAGAGGAACTATTTTTGCCCGTTGTGAATGAAGTTGAATTTGTCACAGTGGGGGTAAGCAAGGTAGCGTTAGTTCCTCTGGTTTCTTCATCCGAATCCTGCATCATATAGAAACAAACTCCTCAACATACTTCACGAGCAAAAGAAACAACAAACTAATTAACAATGGAGACGAAAGTGTCCGTAAAGGAGTAAGAAATAAAGAACATGCAGAAACACGCTAGGTAGAAATAAAACATAGCATAAGTCCTCCTAAACATAGCAAGCAACAAACCACTCACATCGAAATCCGCATTAATCTGAAATCCTTTATTTTTTCCAATGACTGGGCTTTGGTTAGCCAAACTAGACTCTGGAAACTTCAACCTGGATGCGTCTTGGAAAGGAAATGATGGTTGATCTGCGAACAACAGTTCACGTTCAAGTGGAAATGTCGATGTTCAGTGTTCTAGCCCACCCACAACGATCTTTGCACAAGATAAAGCTGATAGCTAGCACATAACAAACCTAAAAATTTCTATGACCTCCAAAAGAAAACCGAATACCATAATGCTGTTGAATATGAGCAAACATAGAATTTATACCTCTACTCTTATCTTCAGAAGCATGTGATAAGGCAGAAGCTGGCGCTTTGCCTTTGACTCTTGACTTTGTGCCCTGTTCAGCTCCCGTCCGAGAACCTCCAGCAGCAGAGTACAAATCATCCTCAAGATTGCGACCCTGTCCTGAAGGTCCAGCTTCTTCCTGAGGCCCAGCAAAATCCCAAGACTGGACACAACCATGACAGATCAAACTCGTATTAAGCATCATTAAATTCATGTAATATTTTTTTAACAAATATAAGAACCGGAGTATAATGCACAATAGGAACACTGATCGCATTTTCAGCACAAAAACCTTGAAAAGGAATAGGTCAAATTGTATTAACTGTACCTGCATGGTCTGACGTGCCTTGTCGTTCACCATACTAGTAATGAGCTCAGTAGGTGGACGCTCCCTCACAAATGCCAATTCTGTGTCCAAAGACTTCTGTTTTGGAGATGGAGTCATCATGTCCAAAGTTTCTAAAATTTTGCGAGCTGTTGCACTTGCTCTTTCGGGTACAGATGCATTTGGTTCTACTTCTGAACTTTTGCTTTCCTCGTGCTGATGAAAAAATTTCGCATTACCTTTTCCCTGAGGCATTCAAACCAATTCTACTGGTAAAGATACAACCAAATCAAAGTTCAGCGTATCAACTGCTTCAGTCATAGAACGTGACAGAGTTGAAAAATCTCAGAATACTCTCGGACGTGAGGTATATTGCATGAGTATTAAATAATTTAATTTCTCACCTCGGTTTCAACATTCCGGCTCCACATTGTGATCACCTTTTGTTTGACATCAACAGGAGTCGGTAATGCCCTTGGAGGAGGAGGATACACGCCCAATGATCCTCGTCTTAGAATTCCACTGGCTGGACTTGGAGTGTACAAAGATGACCTAGGCCTTAATCGTCGAATAGGCCCACCAGAAGAATACCCACCATCCTCTAGAGCTGCGGAACCTCTCTTTTTGGACCCCTGTTAAGGATAGGAAGATAGCTTTGTTAGTGTGCGTTGAACTTGAAAATCACCTCAAGTGATTATACCAGTGACAATTCTTACTCACAGCACAATGGTCACCTACAGGTTATTCGACGACCGCAAACAGAAGCGCAAAAAATTTATTAGTACTGATCCAAGACTAATGTCAATAAGAACACAAAACAACACACCAGCATTATATGAAACTGGTACCTCTCCGGGCAGTGAATATCCAATTGCTGAACTGGGTGCGGTGATACGGGCAACAGGCAGAGGGCGTCCAACCGTGCGAGTCAGAGCTGGAGTTCGCAGGTTTTCATCAAAACCAATATCTCGACTACGAAGGCCACCTGGAGGGGGAAAATGAAAAGAACCAGGAACATCGGCGGAACCGTACTGAGTTGAGATATTGGTTGGTTGTTGCTTCCTCAACATATAAGGTGAAGACTGGTAAGGAGAGAGTCGTAGTTGAGTTGGAACTTTTTCCCGAGTAAGTGTGACCCGAGCAGGTGTAACCACTCTTGTAACTCGCTCCCCCATGTACGCTCTAGCAACATCAACTGCCACAATTTCTACCCCCTGGAAAGACGATCCGAAACAGAATCGAGCATAAGAGGAGATGCAACCACTTAATTATGTTAAAATGAAAGATATGAAAGATATACCAGGAGGTTTTAGGCACAGTAAGGTTCTGTGTCGTTCTTACTGTACCTCAGAAGCCCCAGCCTCAGTAGGAGTGCCATTTTCTTTTCCAAAATCACCCGGCCAATGGTTAGATTTCTGTTCTTGCCGAGCTTTCGTGCGCTCTTCCCTCCATCTTTGAGCATCGGAAAGTTGCCCATTGCTTGGAGCAGACTCGAGGGCCGGAACATGGTTAACATGAGTAGTTCTCTGTTCTTCTGTGTTAACGTGATCGACTTGTTCTTCTGCGGTCCCATTCTCCTTAGAGTATGACTTGAAACTTGCAATTAACCGATCGGCTTCTTCCCTGGCAGAGAGAGGACTGTCTTAGCTCAAGTCTAATGACGAGAAATAGGAGAACCATCAGTTATCAATAATGAGGCAGGTACATCTAACCTGTGCTCAAGAGGCATACAACCAAAAACGAGTATACTTCCTGTTTCAGAAATGCTGGAAGTAGCCCATCGGATCTGAAAACCAATATATCAACTAACAAAAATTTGGACATACCTTGAGAAGGTCCTTTTCATCCAACTTTCCACTTCTGACGTTTTGTCTTCCTCGCCTTGCTGGCTTCCAGCTTCCATAGACTCCTGTAAAGATTTGCGTCGACAACTCAAAATATTGAACTATAGGTAGAAAATGTTGGTGAATCCATTGACCACCATGATGGCAAACACTCCTCAACGCAAATTGCGCTGCTACAAACTCGAGAATATAAGGAAAAGGACAGGAGCACGACAAATCATGAAGCTGATTCCAGCAAAAGATCCGATGTTGACGATACGCAGAAAATAAGCATGAGATATGTAAAGACAGCACTGTTGAGATTGTAAACACAATGAATGGGAATACTTACAACTTCGGCAGCTGAAGGCGACAACGTGTCCGTTTGCCCTTCGGCATTATTCGCTGCGAACAGAAATTGGAATGAGGATGATAATTGAAGCTCGGCAAGCAATCAAAAATCGTTCGAAGGATGGAAGAGGAAAAGGACTTACGCATTTTAATTACGTACACACACAACTACGAATAAAATCACCACTACATCAAGAGCAAAATCCCTACAATCATTATGAACGAATTCCCCAGAAAGAGGGCACTGGAAAACTGACACATTATCTTTATTCCTAGTAGCAATTCGCCATGTTTAAATACTGCCCTGGTACGCAAGCGCAGGTGCATCACGAATCTCACCAGCAGTTTTCTCCGCCTCTTTGAGCAGCAACAGACCGTCCCCGGCCGGGCGCCTGAAAAATGAAGAATACAGGAACGAAGCCCCAGAGGTGACAATCTTGGAAGCGGTGCCGAGCAACCTCGACCCCAGCCATCCTTCCCGCCTCGCTCCGTCCGCCGCACCTCCATTGGCATTCATCAACGCGGCCGCCTGAGGCCCAGCCGACGCATGACGCCCAACAGCCGGCCGGTCATACGGTGTACCATTTCGTTTCGGAGCTCGTCGAGGGCGCATCTTGCCGCCCCCGCCTGCACCATACGTACCCCTGTCTCCATTCTGCACTGGCGAATACGCCATAGCAGCCATCCTCTGTACCCTAGAGGATCTCCAAAACGAAACAATCACTTTTTTCTCCTGGACGAAAATGCAAAATCACTCGCAGAATGCCGAGCTCTAGCCGCGCGGTGATGTCCCCTGCCTCCACAAGGCATGATCCCTGTCCCGAGTCCAACTGCGTCCTGACAAAACCGCTGGTCACCTCCGGCTCCTCCCCCACTCCCTGCGAAAGAGAAGAAGAACAGTGCCTTAGGGTTTGGATTCAAACAAGGGGCCTGCCAACGCCCTCCCCAGGAGATGACGACCCCATGACCGCGATCTCCCCTGCTGCCGCGGCGACACATCTTTTCTGACGCCAACAGCCGTCGCAAGCCGCAACTGCCAGCGTGGCCACCTGCCCAGTGCTTTCCCTACCCCTTTTGTCCTATTAGCCACGCGCAAAACCGCCGCGCCTCGCCTTCACACTCCAAGTGCCATTCCCCTACGAAAAAAGCATCATTGCATAATCCTTCTCGTCGCATTCACTCCAACGCTCTACGAACACTCTACTTCAGAAGCAGTAGTAGACACACTCATAGCCCCTCCCTCCACCTTTGCTCCACGAGCAGCGACGAATCCCAGCACAACAAATTCCATTCCTAAAACTGCTCCCCAAACTTCCCCTCTCCTCGAACATTGTAAAGTCGGTGCGATTCGATGGCGTGATTCACCGCCGCAAGACAGTTTCTAGACCTGCGCTCCCGATTCCTTGTGCCGATCTCGCGAGAATCGGATGATGGGATTGCAACGGAGAGATTTCAAGGGTGCCTGAGTGCATTTCAGTGATGCTATGTGGCGTCTGCACGTGAGACAATCGCGTCCCCTTCACAGAGCCCGTGTGTATGTGTATGCGGAGTTTCTGTTGCGTTGTTTCTGCTGTGTCCACCTCCGCAAGTCGCCGTGAGATTGGCTCTGAGGAGACTATGGCCGTTACCCGCATTGCAGGCATGCTGTGTACAATGTTTCCTCGTAAACACATAACCCTTGGAATTGGGAAACTGCAGCCAGGGTCTTTCCATTCTCTACACAATGAAACGTTAAACCTAGTCATGCCCTCTCTTTTGTTAAAGCTAAAAGATCATATAATATTGATCCAATGGATAAATTGTTATTAGATTAACTCACTATAGAATCAATATTTTATGTAGTGTTAACAAACGTTCAGTAGTGTATTTATCTTTATTAGATGCTATGTAGTGATTGAGTGAGGTTATCTAGTAGTTTTCATAAAACATCTTTTTGACTTTTTGGGCCAATGTAAAAATTAAGATTTTCTAGTAAAAGTGGTTTTCAATAGAATTACTTTCTAAAAATTGTTAAATGTTTAGATAGAACTACCAATCAATCATATATTAATTCAAGGTTTGAAAGATTTTACATGGTTTAATTGAATATTTTGCATAGTACCTTATCTAGCAAAAAATTATGCCGTTGTGCACAAAAACTTATTTGTAGATAACAAATTGGAGGTCTTTCTACATGTTATGCAAGGCTTTTTCTTTATTAATGATTTCTTTGATTTTGGCCAATAAAAAGTCTTCTTTGTCTCTTTATCTTATACATAAGCTTCTTTATTATATAGACTAGTTAAATTGATGTTGTTGTTATAGAAAATATATTGTTTAATATTGAAACTACAAGTTCAAACAAAACATCCTTGAAGTGGCAGCAAAGTAAAACATGGCTTATTTTGTTATGGACATCCAACAAGAAGATTTTAGAAATAATCTTAAAATATCCTATCAAATTTTAGAAAGTTCCAAAAAATACTTGAAATGTTCTAATAGGAGGTTCTAAAAGATTCTTAATATATTCTAATAGAAGATTTTAAAAAGATTTATAGAATATTTTAGAAGGTTCTAAAAGTTTTTAAAAATATTTTAGAAGATTCTACATAGTTCTAAGAGGATTTAAGGAAGTTGTTCAAGAAGCTTCTTAGAGTTGTTTTGTCTTCAAACTACATGGAAACTTTTCAAAAAGCCTTCTAAGGTTGCTTTGTCTTCAACATGGAAACTTCATGAAAAGCTTTTTAATATCTAATATATATTAGAATCAAGGATGAGGAGATCTTCAATCTTGACAACATTTCTCTTAGAATTTTAGCTCATTTCTCTTAATGTTGATCTAGTAATCATTTGATTTAATTAAGTTCTTGCTAGCTTTCTTATTGAAGTTCGTTTGTTCAACTCCATATTTGGTCTCCTTTATAATATATCCGTGACAGTTTGTTGAGATTGTCTTCTTCTTAATGTTAGAGTTTGATCCTTCTTGATAGAAAAAGGATTATCCTTCTTCTTGAAGGTATTTAAGTGCTTTAAAAGTTGCAAAGTACCCTCTTCTAAATTGCTATTATTTAGAAGCTTCATTTTTCTTAAGATGGTTGGAGGTGAAGATGTTAGTATGGTTTAATCCTAAGTCCATGTTAGAGGTTATTATGAATATGTTGAATGCTTTTTCTCGTAGAACTACTGAAATTGAGGGAGTTTTTAGAAGATTTTATAGTGATGCAAGACCTAGAGCAATTTAACTTGTGATGCAACCACTTTATCAAGCTTCTATATCCAAAGAGACAGTGGCACTTATACGTCAACAAAAAAATAACCTATTCAACAATGTAAGAAGCCTTAGATTAGTCTTCTAGAAAAATTTGGTGGCACATGTTTAAACTCTTGAGGATTTGTTAATTAAATTTGATTAGTAATTTTTTTACAATTTGAGCACTATCCAAGAAAGGAGTTGCAAGTTGGTTTAGTTAGAACCTTACTCACATGATAAACCTTATCTTGGTTTGTTCTTTTATATGAGAAGAAATATCTAATCTAGAGCAACTTTAAAGCTTTTTTAGAAACATTTGCAAAGGCATTTGGAGAACATGACAAGGCTTGATGGACAACAACAAAGATTTGCTCATTACATCAAAGGTCATGTTGTACATCAATTTATGCATCTGATTTTAGGCAATTGGTTTCTGACATCAATTGGAATAAACAAGCTCTTATAAGCCAATTCCATTAGAGATTAAGGAATGATATAAAAGACCTATTATTATCATTACCTGATATTTAAACATTCAATGAAGCCATCATGTAAGTTGTAGAGTGTCATAATCAATTATTTCAATACCATCAAGATCAATGCTTGTGAATATTGATAAAGCAACGCTTTGGAAATTTATACTCCATTGCTTCAACAAATACATTGCTTCTAAATTTTAAAACCAAGGATATGCAAATTAATGCAATACAGTTTAAACTTCTTACAAGAGAAGAAAAGAAGCATCAACTTGAATAAGGCCTATACTTGAATTATACATAGTAGAAAAATAGTATTCAATATTATTAGAATCCCATTCAATCTTATCATTCTAGGACTTTTGTAGTTGAAAAGATATAATCTTATAGATTTGAAATATCATAACGTTGAATATTCTATAGAATTCTTTTAAGCAAAACCTATTAAGAAATCAACAACAAAGCCCTTATTTCTTGGAGCAAGGGATTTTATGAAGACAATTAAGAAAAAAATATCATTTTTTATTTATGCAATTCTAGTTCATAAAGAAGCAAGCTTGCTAATACAAGTCTCAGAGCAGTATAAGGAATTTCAAGATATCTACAAAAATAAATAAAAAATAAAAATGCTAGCATATTACTAGAGCAACAATCATATGATTGTGTCATTGATCTTTAAGAAGGGGCTCAACCACTATTTGGCCCAATCTACAACCTATTATAGAATGAGCTTTCGGCATTAAAGGATTATATTGACAAAAATCTTACAAAGAACTTTATTTTACATTCAAAATAGCAAGGATGTGTACAAATATTTTTTGTGAAGAAAAAAGGTGGATCTTTGCAAATATATATTGATTATGACAACTTCAACAAAATAACACTAAAGAATCATTATCTATTATTTTTGATATCAAGACTTTTGGAACAACTTGATCAAGCCAAGATCTACATTGAAATAGATCTCAATGGAGCATACAATTTGGTGTAGATTCAAAAAGGAGGTGAATAAAAGACAACATTTTAGACAAGGTATGGACATTTTGAATATAATGTTATGCCTTTTGGATTGATAAATGCTCTACTTATTTTCTAACATTTGATGAATGATGTTTTTCAAGATTTCCAGACAAGTTTATTATTTGTTATCTTAATGATATCTTAATCTACTCCAAGACTCTTAAAGAATATGAAGTACATTTAAGTTTAGTATTGCAAAAGTTATGAGATACAAGATTATATGCCAAATTAGAAAAATATGTATCCTATCAATCAAAAGTAAATTTTTTTGAATATATTATATCCAAAAACTGCATATTGATGGATCCAAAGAAAGTTTAAGCTTTGAGTGATCAATTCCAAAGACAATATGAGATATACAATGTTTTCTTAGGTTTGCTAATTTTTATCAGATATTTATGAAAAATTACTCCCAAGTTGCTACTCCTCTCACTTGATTGATGTCCAAAGACAAATTGGAATGAGAACTTCAAGCACAAGAAGCTTTTTAAGGTTTGAATGCAACTTTTAATATAGTTCCAATCTTATTACATCCAGATTTGATAAAGGACTTCTATTTGGAGATTGATGCTTCCAACTTTGTATTAGAAGCTGTATTATCATAGATAGAAAAGGATAGAAAGTTCTACCTAGTTTTATTCTATTCTATAAAGTTTTTAGCTATAGAGATCAATTATGAAATTTACAAAAAAGACCTTCTTGCAATTATAGACTCTTTCTAAGAATGGCATCACTTATTGGAAGGTACTACACATCTTATGATTGTATATATAGATCACAAAAATTTGGATTATTTCATATTAGCTTGGTTTTGAATTGTTGCCTAAGTTGTCTCATATAAATCTTCATTTGACAATTGTTTTGTTTGAATAAATTTGAATAAAGAAAGTGTATAATTCATTCTATCTAATGATCTTTAATTTCAAATCATCACAAATATTTTTTTATCATTTTAAAATAATTAATTTCTTTTTAATATCATAATATTTTTAAGAGATGGATACAAAATAAAAAACCACTATTATATTAATTTGATGACTTCATTTCTTTTATTTTTGTGTGTATTTTATATCCACTTTAGTAAGGTAGATAAACCTCAAACAATATTATATTTTTTGCATTTTGATACAAATCATACAATAGATACTTTGATTAAAATTTTAAAGTTACTACCAATTTTGAATCTAAAAAAGTTGTTTAATGAATATTTCTTATTAAGACTAAAACCTACCAAGATTTACTTTGATATAATTTTCTGTAATGTTTAATCATGATACATTTTTTAAATAAATTTTCCTCAATCAAGCTTTTCCTTAACGCTTAGTTTAAATTTAAACAACCTATTAATTTGTTCTAAAGTAACATTCTTGGTCAATATAATATCATAAATCATGTAGTAGAATAAAGTTTAACTTTGACCAAATATAAACATGTTTTGTCTTTTACAAATATAGGTTTTTAATTGTTTTTACATCAACATACAATAATTTATATGTTGCAGATTTTATAAGTCAATGCCATCTCCATGTTGATGTCATGAAATTAATCTAATAATAATATTTACTATTTCTGTTTATATTTCATTTTAAATTTACAGTATCAGCTATATTTCAAAAAATTAATTTTAATAGATATTTTTGTATGTTTATTATATTTTTGAACAACTTGACATGTATTTATTTTTTGTATAAAACATTACAAAAAACAACATTTCATACAAAAAAATACATATTTTAACATTTTGAAATATTAAATCTTTAGAAATCAAAAAGTTTAAATTAATATATTTCCATGCTGAAAAATACTTTAAAATAAGAACATTAATTTGTTGCATTTTCATAGAATAAAATAATAAAACTACCAAATATCAGAATTAATGAGTTTTTATTTTTATTTTTGTACAAATGCATGTGTTTAGAAACTGAAACATGAGTTTTTTTCTAAAAACAAAAAATCAAGTAATACTTTTACATTCAAGAATAATAATGTTTTTCATAAATATATTCACACAAGTAGATAATATTACTTGATTAGCTGATAACAAATACACCTTACATAGTGACTATACTTATCATTCAATGTTGTTAAGATTATGTATGTTAATAATTGTGTTTTTGACACAATCTAAATTTATACGAAATATCTGTACATATGTATATATACTTTTGGGAGTGAAGAGTTTTACTCCTCTTTACGAGAGGCGACAAAATTGCAACATGGGTCATTAGATGACTACAGAATCCCGATTAGCCAGGACACCCCTGGGGATGCACTGGACAAAGGTGGATGAGAAAAGTAAGTCCCCTGCGTTTGCGCATGCATACACTAAAGAGGATCCTGTGAACTAATTTAAAGCATATGTATCAAATGTGAGATCAGACTCTTAAGACAAACAACGAGCACTCTGGTATTGCAAATTACTCAGGAGACTCGACCTCCACATATCCACAGATGAAAGTAACCCTGAGAACCCGCGAGAACGGTAACGCTTCCTCCTCATTATTTTGGAAGAATAAAACCCAAAATCAGATTCACTAAAATCAATATGGAAAGTAGCTTAAAAACACACACATCCTTTCCTCATCGATCTTCATTTGTTAGCATTTGTAGATGAGCGTGGGATCGATTCGCTGGGGCCTTTCGTCTTGATACGAGCTCATAAGGTATTTCGCCCTCATCCTACAGTCCTTACGCAATACAAACTTCAGCTTTAAATTGAAGATTTTAAAATGGTTTGACCAGGGATATGTCCAGTCCATGCCTGCACTACAGCTCCTGAACTTTTGGATCAAGATTGAGTTGGAGACTTGCCTAAAGACTGTCTGAGCAGATAGGTCTATAGGTGAGTGAAACTCTGTCTGAGCAGATATGTGAACTTCTGCAGACAGAAGACATAGATCTTATAATATATTATAAAAGAAAGTAAGATACAAACAAAACAAGTCACCTTTCCTGAATATACTTACATCGAGAGGATTTCAAATCCAGCCTTCTGAAACAATTGGCGCTTTCAACCAGCAACAGATGCTTTACTACATGCTTCCTGATTCATGATGATAAATCACTCGGCCAGACAAAGAACCACGCCCCTTTGATGAGGAGTCCCCCTATTCTGCGTTGGGGCTAAAGACCAAAGTCAACAAAGAGTCACATCGGCCACATGTATGTCTAGTTTAAAAAGAATATTCCCGAGAAACACCTAAGTCATAACACTATTTCCTTCTCTCGTCACTTCCTTCCTGGCCTGTATTTTGCAAGGCAAGTCAGTCGACTGAACACAAGACCCGGCTTAGGAATTTCCCCTTCCTTTAACTTGTCGTTGTGAAGAGATTTGCACTCTCCAACCACCTGCTCCAGAACAAGGTACTTATTAGTCGGGAACATAACTTGACCAGGCTGTGTGAAATCTAATAAGCTTAAGGCCTTCTAATAACTCAATAAATCCAAAAAACTTAACTTTCCAGAAGTTTAGTGGGAAGGTTAATTACTTCTTTGGCGTCTTTCTTTGGGATATCATCTCGCAGTGCTACCAGCTTCTCCACTACTTCCGGCTGCAGTGTTTGAACATCAAAAATCAGAACTCAACTTAATAGTAAAATTTTAATAAAAGGCATCTATACAAAAAAACTCGTCGTTCCAGCCATACGAAATACTCGAACAATCAAAAGTTAGGTCAGTAATATCGTACTGGGCAATCGGGATGATTCTGCAGAAGCTTTGCGTATGCTTCAGTGAATGCATCTACGCTTTCTGCCGAGGCAAGGTCTCTAAGTTCGGCAAGCGGTAGAATACGCTTATCTACCTTCTGCTTCCCAAGAAACCATACATGCATGAATCAATTTCAAAGAACACGTCGCAGAATATAAACCAAGAAATCTAACCAGTACTCATGACCTCATACAAAAATACAAGAAATTGTGGACGTTCAGTTTCGATACAAAACATCAGCACTCACAGCAGGGGTAATTATCTCCCGGAAGAACTCGCCGAGAACTTCTTCATCAACTTCGAGCCTCTTCAAAGTTTCTTCCTTTATGTACTGTTTCTGCATATTTCCGCAGAAAACGTAATTTAACTGACTATGTACTCGGACATTGTACGTACAATCAAAAAATTTGAGACTTTTCTCCGATGAACACTTCAACGCAAAGATCAGACCACGAATCAATACTTCCGCTCGGATCAAGGTGTTAAAGTTTGTATAGATTTCAAACCTGGGTAAGAAGTCGGTCCACATACAACACAATAGTAGTTTCAAGGCATGCTTCAGCAAATCTTTTGTAAGATCTCTCTTCCACATACCTGCAACAAGGAACAAAAAAGGGACTCAGACTTGTTCAAAAGCTATCCTAATATACACAGCGATTGAGTACAGAATAATTCAACCAGCTCAGGTTGTAATTCAAGTTGCTGAGTCAATAGACGAAGACTTACAATTTGACGTCACCAAAGTAGTCAGTGAATGTGGCCACGAGATACTCTGTCACTAAACCTTCGTACCAGTCTGCATGACCACACCATACTGAGTGTCTGGGATGATTACGTTCTAACCGCTTCAAAACACTTCAACATCCCGTAACAAACTTTGTACGCAGCCATTCCAAAAACTACATCAAATCTGAGTTTCTAAGATCAGACTTCGGCATGTATTGACATCCACACCTTTCTGGTAGAGTTTTCCAATTAATTCTTTGACACCAGGGTCCTCAAAAATCACTTGAACGGCCTGCGACAGGGCCTCCTGTGGAGACCAATATAATTTGGGTGAGTGGGCCCTGGCATTAACAAATAAGGGTAGGTTTCACAAAACTTAGATACAACATCAAGGTTCTGCGGACTAAAAGGGTGAACTTGGAAAACACTAGGAGAGTTTTCTTACAAGACGCAATATAATTCATGACCTTACCTTTCCAACCTCAAGGAATCCCTTACAAGTGTCTTCGAAATTGACCTGCACGAGAGAAAACTGTCGGGCATAAACACCTGCGAGTGGTATCATTGAGCATAATATGGCATAGTGCACACAAGAAGAGATCATGAAGCTAGGCCAACGAGTAACAAATATATCCCAAATATACAACCCACCTGGTCGGCGTAATAAGGAGTGAGGGCTTCTAGGACACTGTTGCTGAGCTCTAAAGCCAATTCGTGACACTTGTAATTGCTGTTAACCTGCACAAGTACACAGGGCAGATGCTATTAAAAGATAATGGAAAACAGCCAATCTAACAAGAGCTGACGCAAATCTGACAACCATGCTGATGTATATACATTTTCTGTGACCATTCAGCGAAGAATTCGTCAGACATAAGATGCGACAGGTGTAAAGACATACCATAGCACAAAAAGGCTCCAATCCAACATCTGCTGCTGGTTCTTCAAGCCGCTTACGCTGGGCTGCCTGGAACTCATTCATGATCTGCAACCGGTCTTTGAACTTAATACAAGGGTTGTAATACTTAATCTCATAGTATTTCAAATTCGGACATCCACAATACACAAGGACAACACAAAATATCAAACGCACATAAGATTGAAACGCTAACAAACCTGGATGATAGCAAGAGCAATCCGAAAGAGCATAACATCAGTACTGTTCTCTTGCACAACTTGGACTTGTTCTGTAAGAATCCGAAACAGGTCTACTCCTGCCGGAGTGTAAAGCTTCCCGTCATCACTTCTCTTCGGAGGATTTGTTCTATCTGCTTCCAAAATATTTGTATACCATTTCTGCACACATGTTTCCGGAAACGTCAATAAGTGTACTTTTAAAAAACAAATAAAACGCTATAAAGTGTTCATGTTAAACGACAAATCATGTACTTATCCAACAAAACATTCGCAGGATAATGAGGACTATACCCGCATGGACTTCTGCATCCGGTCTACATAGGCGTCCATGAGTGGATCCATAGCTCCACTTTCAGCACACTGAGCTGCCAATCCTTCCTCAATACCCAGTTGAATCAATTGCTCTTGAAAGTTTACTACCCATCCTGTAACCTGCACAATGGGAAGAGTCGCACAGTCAGCAAACGGTGGATTGATGCAATGAGCTGGGAAGAACATCCACTGAGAGATAAAATGAAGATTTCGAGTACTTTACCTTCAAGATGTCAAGGTTGGATAACTCGTTAGATCTGTCTCCGAGCCTCCGTAACATTTGGATAAAACGCTCTGTGTATAAATGTACACAGTACTTGAAAATCTCATATCTGCACGTGGCCATTCTTTTTTGTAAGACACAATAGTTTAATTTAAGCTGATTATTGGGGAACGATGCATCTGGCGGAATTTAAAAATACAGATAGGAGTTTAAATCAAAGAAAGGCATAGTCGATTGTTAAATGAAGGTTACCGTGGGGGGAAACATGGGGCCACATAGTCAAAAATGTCGAGGAGTTCTTGCGCAATCTGCAATTACAAAATTTAAAGAAAGTATAAGAATTTCGTTTAGAGCAACGAAGACCTGATAGATGAGAATTTTCATTCCAACCACGCAGATATCAAACTATCTTAACCTACCCCACATAATAAGACAGAAACATAATCTATCGGCAGTTCATACACAGAACAGCCACCTGTGAGGACCTCTTCCTTAACAATGGCAGAATGAGCTAGACCACATTTTGTACTTCAAGAACGTGAAAATTTCTAGATTAGAAAAATCACCATTTAACGACGACCTAAGCCTACAGCATACACCCAACAACTGATCAGCCCTGTCAACAGCAACACAAATACTAATCAACTGAAGTAGCACATAGGTCCAGACTATTTTGAAACACAAGATTGGCATTGTTGATCTTAGTGCATGATGCATTCCTTCTGGTTCGTACCCGAATAATGAAATGTCGAAAAACTAAGATGAAATCCAATTCTTTAACATCACGTTATGAGCATGATCTAAACTTCTCTAATGAATAACATAAGCACATAACTCTTTACTGTAAATTCCTGAAATTAAGGCAAAACAGGTGTAAAAAGTCAGTGCGATGTAGGAGAGACTCACCGCACTCGCTTCTTCCAGAGCAGCTTTCAAGTCTTCCATAACAAGCTGCACAGACATAAAGGTATAAGAGAAACTCTTCGTAATGAGATCATTATCTTCATATGAAAAAAATAACAGCAGATGAGAGTCATTAACAAAAGTACAAAGATTTTCTCACCGTGCTTAGCAAGACATCAAATCTCGCCTCAATTGTCTTTCTAATCTCGTCATAGCAACGATCCTTATATCCAAGTCCACCAACTCTGGGTTTGCTTTGTTCCTCTGGAGGTTGAGAGAGATTCTGTGACCTAAAAACATAAGATAAGAAAGATGCATTGTCAGAAGGACAATCGACGTGTGAAGTAAGAATTCCAAGAACCAAGTCAGGGGTATTTCTCCTTACTTGCGAATAGCTCTGGGTGCGGGGAGGTTGGACATCGGTCCAGCACCCTCTGCTTCAGCCGCTTCCTCGGCTTGCTGTTGGTCCAAGATTTCCTGCATCTCCACTACCCTGAAACAGGAGAACCAACAAAAAATATAAAAAATATGGCACACACGATATACCTCTGCACATCCTTGAGCCTGGTTAATGTTCATACTAGATACATATCTTAAATGCTTATTCACAGATAAGTATCAAAAATCAAATACAACACAGAAAATCACACCTCCTTTCCATTTAAAGAACTTACGCACATCATTCCCATTGGATGCATAGGCCGACAAAACTAGGTGCTTCCATGACAAACGTTGGGAATAAAATAAAATCTAAAGAAAAACTCACATAGAACACAATTGAAATAAATAGAAACACTTCTATGGCATCATACCTTAATGCCCGTACCAGGGTTTGAGGACTGCACAAAACAAAACAAAATTAGTGAGGTAAGTGTTGGCAAGAAGGTAAAAAAAGGAAGTTGCAAGGAACATCTCTATTTATGAAGAATAAAAATACAGTTAACGACATTCAGTGTGTACCTATCTTTGGCGAGGTGGAAAAAATTTCCAATGTGGCTCCAAAGAGTCTGCTCAAACTTAGCTCGGGTATTGCTCACATCTTCAAAATACTCTCTGAAGGAGGAAAAGTCAATGATATCGGATTAGTGTCGGGCCAAACATACCACAGTGGATGTTTATTCGTGTGCATGGTTAGCAAAATGCACGTGTAAGCAAAATCTGCGCTCACTCACGTCAACTTTCCAGCTTCTTCTTTTCGTGTCGACACTGTGGCTAGTGCGAACCTCCTCTTCTGCTCAAGTGCTGTTAGTGCCTGCAGCACAAAGACAACAAGGGTGTAAGCCCAATTTTGGGACCAACCCTATGAGAATATATGAAACGCATTTAAACAACATTTTACACATTGTTCTATTCACCAAAGTCTCCAAGGAGCTGAGCAAGATTATTATTTTGATCAATTACCTCAAAAGTCCGTAACAGCTCCCGCTCATCTGAAAGTGAGGCCCTTGCTTCCGCAGCTTCCGTGGAAATAGACATCATGCCTTCAACATCCTGTACAAACGAGACAGCCATGAGGTTTCGATTGTACAAGAGTGTTCTACATTTCAACTACAACTGCACAGGATTAGGTAAGAGACTCGATTGTTGGAATAGTGTCAGTACCTTCAAGGTTGTATTCAAATTATTTCGAGCGTTGCTGAGAAGCTTTATTTGATCGTGGTGCTCAATCAGCGTCTGACATTCTCGGCACAACCTGTCTTTCAAAAAATGGCACATACCACATGGAAAACAGTTATTTCTTTCCCGTGAAGAATCACTAATAAGACTCAAATCAAGAATTAAAGGTGACCCATAAGTGCCCATACCGATTTCATTTAACACATGAAATAGGAGAAATGTAAATTTCGCTACTAAAGGTTGGCGTAGTCTACTTCAACACGGGATTGTAAGCTACGTTCCCATCAACATTTTCCCACCCACAGTGACAAAGTTCTTTAAATTACCACAGTGAACGCACCTGTCAATGAGTTCAAAATTCTCACGAAGAGTTCCGATCTTGGATTGCGAGTCAGCAAGTGCATCGATACCAGCCCTAGCTTGCTCTACCTGTTCCATACAGTTCCTCGTATTCTAAGTTAAGAGATCCAAGAACGGATGCATGGCTGCTAAGGTATAGGAGCACGATACGCTACAGTCTTCAGTTTATTATACCAATGAAAGGGTTCACAGCATATATCACGCTGTTAAACTTCGATAAAGTAATAACTCGTAAGTGTCTAGAATCAATGAGATTACTGAAAGAAGGAGAATAAGAACGAGAAAGCAAGAACAAGCAACCACTTGAATTAACAAGCGAGACGCAGAGTCCAGACTGACCTGTGACATGACACTGCTGCTGAGCTGAGCATCATTGTGCTGCACAGAGCCAGAACACCAATTGGCACCACCACGCCCATTCAGGAGATTCTCGTGATATAAACATTGTGATTCGCTTGATTGTGATGACTCCAAAAAGGCAATCAGATAAATTGATGCAACACATGTAAACAAAAATCCAAGTCCAATATACACTAAGTGTCGTCGCTCGGCCTTGAAATTTAAGCTGTAACAGCACACAGATAACGTGGCTTCGGTAACATTGTCTAATTCAGCACTCCAAATTCCGCCTGCCAATGCATTGACTTCTTTTGCAGCGATGACGGCAAAAACTCGGTAACTCCGCGTAGAGGAAGGCATACTGAGTATGCAAGCGAACAAGAAAATGACGGATCATGAAGCTAGTGCTATCTCAAGATACCCGACCCTCAAAACTATTGGAATCCCGGTTCTCACTTCATTTGAACAAACGATACCAACAGCAACGAAGATGCAACCAATCACATTGCGAAAGTTCACGGCACCTGTTGCCGCAAGGCGTAGTCAGATCTGATGCTGTTCACAGAAGCCAACGAATCAGGGAGAGGCAACAGCTTAGCGACCTCGCGGACGGCCGCTTCCTTGGCCTCGATGCCAGCATCATGCATCATCATGATGCTCCGAACTGCTCACACACCCACCACTCCCTCCACGAACAATGTCACCTCCCGACCTCAAAAACCCTAACCACGCCCTGCTCTCGCAAGCATCACCTCCTCCCACAAAACCACCCCCTGGCCACAAACCCAACTCGTAAAATACTCATGCACTCGAGCTCAGCCCCGACATCACTCTTCCACCGCGTCGCCCCGATCAAATTTCCAACGCATCGCTCCCCGCAAGTTTGCAAGCTTCGGCGTGAGCACGAAGGCATGGACGAGGTGATTGATAGCTCCAGCTCAGAATAGTTTGCACCGAGAGAGAGAAAATGACGAAGCAGGGGGCACAGATCGATGATTAGCGTTCAAGGAGATTGAGACGTTGCGATCGAATTTTTCACATGGGCCCTTCTCGATTGAGGGCGTCAAAACGACCCGTCGCACAATTCAGGCTTTTTCCCGCACGCGGTGAAAAACACATACCCCCGCACCCTAAAAGCGGTATGACCTGTCACCGTGGGATCCTTGGATGATTTGAATTTTCCTGTGCGGGATTGTGAATCCCAAGACGGAGTACCTCGTATTTGTAGTGGCGTTTAGTTTTGGTTGATGACGTGGACTGTGTTAGCGAATTTAGTATGGAGTTCAAATCCGTGAAACAGTACCTGTAGGTGTGCGCCTTCTTTTATTTTCAATTTTTTTTGAATAATAAAATAAATAAATGGGATTATTAAATAGACCCAAGTTTTTATTAAATTGACCTACCTATGATGAAGAATATGATAATTATGATGAATGTGGTTGGATTTCATTGATTTTAGATCTAATAGTGGAGAAATGAATCTAGAGGTCATTTTGTTTTTTTCATGATGCTTAGGATGGGTGGGTCAATTTAGTAAACACTTGGATCTATTTAACATTCCCCTACACAAAAGCTATGTGTAAATAAGTACATAAGAATGTTTTGACTTTAAAACTAATTCTTTTTGTGCAAAACATGTAAAAGATTCATAAAATATAACACATATTAAAAGTTGGTGCTAGGAATAGCAGATTTTGTAATACATGATGTGAAAGAAAGCATTTAGTATATGTTTTTATAAACTAGATAATCTTAATGGACAAGAATAAGATAGTGGATAAGAATAAGTATGTACATAGATGGGTCCTAGACTATTTTACATGTAACATTGCTGGATTTTGAAAACATAAAATTTTATATTTAATTTTTCAAAAGAAAAAAAAAGTGAAGAAAGCTTACATTTCTATTTACAACAATCTCAAGTATTTTATTTCATGGTTATGAAAGTATTTGTAGTTTAAATATTGAAAGCTTAGAACAGTTCATATTATTTACATTGCTCACAATTAATAGAATCCAAGACATTTTTGTAGAAGTTAGGTACTTCATCCACTCATAAGGATGTGGAAATTACTACAAGTAGAATCTAAATGCCAATTTCATTATCTTAATTTATCAAAACTCTCATAAAAACTTTGAATAATATGTAGAAGAAGGTGTTTTTTTTTTTTTGTAGTTCAGTTCGTAGTATAGAGTAGCTTCTTGCTTTCTTCCCCTCTCCTTTGGATATTCTCTTTTTTCTCTTTTTCTCTTTTTTTATTTACTTGTTTATATGTATAGAAAGATACTTGTTATTTCATATTTTTTGTAAACCTAAGATTTTTCTACAAATGAGTATTAATATTCAGATATGTATTGTATAATGTTAATAAATATAAATACATATATATATATATATATATATATATATATATAAATTGATTATGTAAATAATAATTATAATAATAATTTTTTTTTGTACAAAGACTCAGCAAAGGAATAAAAGTAATATTGGTAGGTAGTAATAAAATGCAGCAATTAGTTACAAGAAGTAATTTATAGTGATGTATGTTTTGATTCACAATGTTTTTTTTTATTATTATTATTTTGAAAGTATTTAATATATCATGACAAATGCTAGCAAAGTGAATATAAATATTAATATGGCTTCATAGACAAATTATTGTCATTTCTAAAAATTTGGCATTTTCTTCTAAAAAATACATTGCAAATTTGTATTCACAATTATATATTGCAAGTATACAACAAATGACAATAGAGTTATCAATAAAAAGTAATGTTATGCATTTTTAGTAGATAAAAAGCCGTTTGTTTTATCTTCTTAATAATTACATAGTTGTATAAGGTTTGTGGGTCTATGTTTTGTAAAATTTAGCAACAATTAATATATTTTTGATGTTATATTAAACAAGTAATAAGATTTTTAAAATAGTTGTATTTAAAATTATAGATCCTCAAAAATAACATGGATAATACAAGTCTATATTTGTGTAATAATTTAAGCCAAAAATTATAATAAAAATATAATAAAATATTAGATAATTAATTTGTAAAATTTGGATGTATAATAAATAAAAATTAGACTTCATAAATATATTTATATATTACATCTTACACTTTGTTAATAAAATTTAAACCACATTAGATTCTTTTCATTATTTAGACTCATTTTTATTAAAAGTTCTTTGAGATGTTAGCAAGTAGGTTGCACACCACTTTAATTCGCATAATTATATTTTCATTTCTAATCTAAACCTTGCTTCTTTACTACTACAATAACCACTCATTTTTTTACCATTGTATACCACTTAATTAAACTTTGTCTAAAAGTCTTTAGAATTATGTACTTAATATAAAAAAAAAATAATACAAAATTATTGATAGTTATGTCAGAATGAATTCTTAGAAATAATAAATATAAATTATATATTCTCCTATCATAATAAACATCCTTTAATATTAATCATTCTAATATGATATAATAATGTTATTTTCTTAATAATCATTATTCTTTAAAATCCTTACAAATTATAGTCTAATATCAAAGACATTAATATTGACATCAGTAATAAGAAATATAAGAAGAGCTATGTAGAAGTAAAAGTAAATAAATTTGGTAATATCTTGTAAAGTAGTTTTTTACAAGCTTTGTAGATGTAAATTTGACTTTATAAGTGTTTGTAGGTAATTAATACATTGATTACTTATTCAATAAATTTACTTTATATTGCATATGTTGACTACTTATTTTGTAAATTGGCCTTGTATCATACATGTTGGAAACTTGATTTATAAGTTAGATACACATCTTGCAAATTGGACATGTGTTGGATGACTTATAGAATGTTGCTATATAGTTTTTTATTTAGATAATATATATGGAAGTAAAAGTGAGACCTTCTTCACTCTTATTAATGTCTTTTATATTAATAATCTCTAATTTTATTTTATTTAGCAATCAAATTATAATTTCTATCTTATGTCTATCATTGATTTGTATATTTTCTTTCTTTGAGTATTGTAAGAGTATATTGACTCTTTAGAATTTTATTATGATTCATGTCTTTGATACCTACATTCCTTAATCCATCATTTTTTTCTTCAAATTTATTTTTAAGAACTTGAAGAATTAGTTGTACAAAAAGTGGTATTACAAGTGATACTTAAAAAGAAATCTTAACTTGATATAATTCAATATACAGTCTAAGAACTTATCTTCTAAGTCCTTCTTTTTTGTATATATATATATATATATATATAGTCAATCTTTAATGCTCAAACTAAGGTCCATATTTAACTAATATTTAGATCTATAGAATTGAATAGTACATTGCAAGTTACTAAGACTATAAAAAAGAAAGATATAAAGAAGATTATATTTAAAAAATCTAAAAAAAAATTGTAATATTTCAATTAATTCAATGAAAATATTAATATTTCAATTTCATAATTTTTTTGATTCTTAAGACTGATCTTCTATCCAAAAAATATTGAATAAGTATATTTATAGTTTTATTAATAGTAATTATATTTTAATATCCTATCAAGCATTAGCAATACAAGTATTAAGAATATTATTAAGCTTCTATATAAATCATATCTATGCATCCAACCTTGTTACTTTATTCAAAAAAGTTATATTTATATTTGCAAAATATATTAAGATTTAATGGTGTATTTTTATGGAATGCACCAAAATAATATTAATTTTGTGTAAGCATTGATTTGACAACATTTATATTCTTTTAATTACGGTGTTCATTGAATAGGTAAGTAAAGATTTATAAAGAAGATCAGTTGTTTTATATTTTGTATCTATTTTGGAGCTATTGATATTTCTTTTATTTTTATTAGTTGCTTCTCTTTATGTATAATCTCAAAAGATCTTTGTAGAAATAATACATTTGACATAAGTACTTTTTTAATTTTATTTTTCAATTGCACAAATTTTAAAAGATTCTAAAAAGTAAATTTTTAGATACTTGCTCTTAAAAAATAGCTTTGCTGGTATACAAATGCCAGTTTCTTTAATTTATTATTATTATTTTTGTAACTTATTAGATGGCTTTTTGGCACACTTTACAAAAATTATCTTATTAGCTATCTTTACAACTATCTTTGTAATCTTTTCAATAAACTTTCAAATTAGAATTTCAACATGTGTTTTAGAAGACTCCTTGATAATGTTATTAATAGAAATATGGAAAGAATAAAAATAACAATAGGTTTAATAATTATTATGATATTCTTTGATATTGATTGCAATTATTTATTATCTAACTCAAGTAGGGTATTTGTAATATTATAAGATGCTCAAAAGAAGATGTCCCTAGTATATGCCCTTTTAAGATATTTAAAGAATCTATTACAAATATACTTTTATTTTATTTTTTCTTAAATTTCTAAATCCATATATCTTATCTTAATTACTTATATATTGTAATTAATAATTAGTGCCATATCCAATAACTCATAGATTGCTACAAAAGAATAATTAAATTAAATTTTAATTAAAATTTAAATTAATATTAATCAAATATTTAAAAATATAGTATAGATATATTCACAAAGTATTACAAGATCATAATACAAGTTAATATCATCTATCAACCAAACACTACACAATAAGGCTTTATAATATATATATATGTGTGGTTGGTGATTCATAGATATCTATTCTACTATAAATTTTATTAATTGATATTGCACATATTAATAAAATATTTGATAAAATTTTAATTCTTTGGATAAATTTGCACACTTTTCATAATTTACAAGCTTGTTGTTAACATATTTTTTACAAAGTATCAATATATAGATGTAACACCTCTCTACATGTACATTGTACTCTATCTACTTATAATTTATTCTATATATAATTAAAGATAGTTTGTAATTTTTTTTTCTTTAATTTGATAATAATAATAATATTTTTTAATATATTTTTTGTAATAGTGGATTTTCTAATACCATTAAAATATTAAATGCCAATATAAATGTGTTCTCAATAGTAGATAAGAAAAATATTGAAAATGATATTAATAAAGCCTCTTATATTATTAATCTTTGA